AGCAAAACTCGACTAATTAAATACCGGACACAGAAAGGAAGACAAGACTATGAAAGAAAAATTAATTATGATATAAATATATTTCTTCTTATGACAAGAAGTTATAGTTGTTAACATCAATTCCAAGTTCAAGGGGGAAAGATTCTAGAAATAGTCACACTAGAGTTGTGGACCTTGTCACACAACATGTGTGTAATGATAAGAAATATATATTTGAAGTTTGAAGAAGATACCTTAAAAGATAAAGAAGTTATAATATTTCTTTAAAAAAAATCTATGTTCAAAGGGAGATAAATCTGAAAATATTGTTTCAAGAGTTATTAACCTTGTTACATAAGATCTGGTTGATGATACAGAACATGTATTTGAAGTTTGAGGTAGATACATTTAAAACTAAATAAGTTATAGTAAAATTAACATTTTTCAAGTAAAAAAAATCTAAGTTAATGGGGAGATAAATCTGAAAATATTGGTGCTAGAGTTATGAACCTTGTCACATAAGATGTGGTTCATAATAAGGAACATATATTTGAAGTTGATACCTTAAGAAAAGAAAAAGTTATAGTAAAAAATAATATTTTTTAAGCAAAATTCTAAGTTCAAGGGGAGATAAATCTGAAAATATTGGTGGTAGAGTTATGAACTTTGTCACATAAGATGTGGTTTTTAAGTTTGAGGGTGATACCTTAAGAAATGAAAAAGGTTAAAGTGAAAAATATTTTACTGCACCAAAACTTTAATCTGAAATCTGGACGCGAACGCCGGGACGAGTAGGACAGCTCTCCATATACTTCGTATAGTCGAGCTAAAAATAGAATCTTTGTGAGTCACCAGAACATCGTATTCATGAGCAAGACCAACTGAAAAGGTCATATGGCCACTTTTCGTAAGCTTGCTGAATAGCTTCCGCACATGGATAGCATCCTAACGCGAAAGAATCCAAAGTCCCTATCTGGACACAGCATGAGGGGCAAGTGGTTTGAAGTCCATGAATTTAACCGCTCGGCCACGGGCACAACAGATAACACGCCTAAATCTTTGGAATATGGATAAACAACTACAAATGAATAAAAACAATACACTAAAGACACCAGCTTCTTTTTTCCCTTCTGGGAAGGGAGGTTTATTTGCCACTTTATATGATATGCGATACAATGAGATATAAATAATTTACAGCCTTATTTTAAAAAAATCACCACTTACACAAAATGTGGAATTGTTGTTCATTTGGAAGACCACCTAACATTTCACACTTGACTATGCGTTTATTTTTATTTATGATTTCTGATATATTACTTATATTTCCATTTCAGTCATGAATCTATTGGTCTCTTATCTTATAGTAATTATTCATCGTTTAAATAACACTAGACATATTCAATAAAAATAACACTACTGACGTGATATCCTAGAGAACTAAAGATTTATCAAATAAATGTAAGTCTGCAAGTCTAAAAGACAAGTGATGAGTTACAAGTTGGGACGGCAATAATAACCTGGTTTATACATTATTTATTTTAGTTTCAATTGTGTAGCTATAAGCTTATAGACACACTTCTGAATTCGTTCCTGGAACCAACCAGTACTGAGCAATGAGTGTAAAGTTTCTTGCTCAAGGAAACAACAACATGCCCCTGACAGGGTTTGAACTCATGCGGCTAGCGATAATTAGAGATAATTAGATTCCGACATGTTAACCACTCAGCCATGCAGCCACTTAAATAATTACTTGCCTGTGCAATTATCTACAACTTTAGGGTTTCTTTTTTATACAGGTAACAGTTGTAACTTTAAAGCATAGAAAATGCTTGATACACATACAATCTGGCTTGAGTTAAGGCATAATCATTTATAGCATGCAAGCACAAACACAGCCTTGAAAGTATAATTATAACTGAGTCTCATTTCCAAAGGACACAATAGTTATGTAATGTATATAATAATATCCAAAACAAGCCTTATTGACAAATGAAACCTAACAAAACATTCAGGCTTTCTTTGTACTAAAATGAGTAAAATGAAAATGATTATTTCTATGAAATATACAAATATTACCCTTGATATAAATTACATATTTACTTCACAAAACCTTTACATCACGATTTCACTGTATATGTATACAGCTAACATACATATGTATATATGTGCACAATTATATAACAACACTTCCAAAAGCTTTGTAACAATTACATAATATCAATAAAAAAATCTCACATTGCATACAAATATGGAAAACAACACACTTTAAGCCTGTATAAAATCATCAAATAACTCATAGCTTGTATAAAGTTGGGAAAAAAAACTTCTCACTTTAAGCTTTATAAATTTAGAAAAACCCCAAATTAACTTTTGGGTTTAAAATTTGGGAAAACCCGCCACAAACCAGTTTTGGGGATAAATTTGGCCAAAAAATTTCAATTTTTGTTGACAGGGAGACTGTATAAATTCAGAAAAGATTTCATTTAGAACTCAGGTATAATTTGGAAAAACAAACAGCTCACTAACTTTATAAAAAATTCTGAAAAATTTCTAAACCTTTATGATATTATAAGGTCACAAAATGTTTTCTCCTTTGGGACTATTTAAACCTTTATATTCTCCCCAATCATGATGTTTAATATTTTTTTTAAACAAAAAAGTGGAAAATTATCAGACAAATTTTTGATTAAGTCTAATCAGATTATATCAAATATTTATTTTTCAAATACCCTACAACAAATATCTTGGATATATGATAAAAATTATTCAAAATGTAAATAATCAAATCTTTTACTTCAAGTTTATATTAATGTAAAAATCCAATTTTACTATTTAATTCATAGATTTAATACATTTGCCTCAGAATGAAAAATTCTACACTCCCTTTATTCTGTTGTAGTAGTAGTAATTGTTAATAAATTGTTCTATACATTATATATGTCTACATTTTTACATCTTTCATCTATACTATTCAAGTTTCTAAGAACATATATTGTGTAATGCCACATTCTTCTGTATATTCTACATGTATTCTATCTAATAAACATATAAAACCCCCACATAATTATTGTGTAATGCCACATGGAACGTGTAAGTCACTTTGAATAATATATTGCATAAGTATACATTGAACTATTCTATCAATTAATTTCCCATGCATACAAAACACAGTGTACATCAACCACACAGTGTACGTGTAATATCAACCAGTGGTATATGTATTAACTCAACCACACATTACACAGTATAATATCAACCACACATTACACAGTGTGTATGTATATCAACCACACATTACACAGTGTAATATCAACCACACATTACACAGTGTATATCAACCACAACATTAACACAGAATGTGTATGTATATCAACCACACACAACACAGTGTATATGTATATCAACCACACATTACACAGTGTGTATGTATATCAACCACACACAACACAGTGTATATGTATATCAACGACACATAACACAGTGTGTATATGTATATAAACCACACATAACACAGTGTATATGTATATCAACCACACTGACACAGTTTTTATGTACATCAACCACACAGTGTACAAGTATAACAACCACACATAACACAGTGCACATGTATATCAACCACACATTAAACAGTGTGTATGTATATCAACCACACACAACACAGTGTATATGTATATCAACCACACATTACACAGTGTATATCAACCACACATTACACAGTGTGTATGTATATCAACCACACACAACACAGTGTGAATCAACCATACATATACCACACCATAGGTTCATCACATAAAACAACTATTAGCAAACTGATTAATATATACATATATAAAAAAATGTATACATGAATGTAAGTAAAATAAGGAACACATTATATAAGTAATCTAAATCTGAGATTATAAAAACTTAATTATTAATATATGTATATTTTCTGATTACATGATATAAATGTACAATAGGATCTTAATGCTTTGTTCATAAAAGACTCTCCAAGTCTCAGCAGTGTAAAAATAATGCAAGCAAATAAACATTTGTAGCAACTTAAATCTTAAAGAAAATACAATCAATATGGATTTTCATTTCTGTCAAGTTACATTTGTTCATTAGCAGTGTAAGTTGAATAATGTATACAGGTGTATGATAAATATAAATTCTTTATAAACAAAAATACAAACTAATGTAAACTTTTGTATAAAATTTATAAAAAAAAATTCAGACCCAAAACTCATGTAAAAGTGCAAAAAAAAAAATTTTTTTTTTTTTTATTTAGATGAACCAATACCCTGCTGGAATAATAATTGATTACCCTTTGTAATTAGTATAGAGTTAGTAAGGCCTAAACATTCCCCAAAAAACCTTTCTCCAGGGGCAAGCTCTATATTTTCCCGCTAATTTTTTTTTTGTATTTTGGGGCCCTTTAAATCCCCTTTAACATTAAATGCAACAATTTTTAATTTCAAAACTGGGCCCAATCCCTTTCAAAAAAATGCAGCAGAATAAAATTTAAATTTTTTTAAAGCAATTTCAAAATTTTTGAGCAAAAAACAGACAAAACGAGGGAAAAAAAAAATTTTCCAGCTAAACAATGGTCTTTCCCAAAAGCTTAATGTCTAAATCTTTAACGTCTCACTCCAAAGTTTTTTCCTGAAGTTCCCAGGACATTTTTAAAAGGTACGCTTTTCCCCTTTCATTCCCCCGAAAAACAAAACATTCCTTTTTAAAATCATAAATTAAAATACCCAAAAAAAATTCCCTTTTTTTGAAAAAAGAAATAAATTAAATTCATAAATTGGTCAGCAAACCTTATTCATATAGTTTATACAAACATTTTAAACAATTATCCAAGCAACTTTATAAACATGCAATATTATAAAGAATTGTAAAAAAAAATAAATAGGAATAAAACCTATTTCAAAATAGACATGTTGATGTTAAAAACGTATTTAAAAATCCAAATCAACGCATTTGTAAAATACATTTTTAAACATTTCTTCAAATTAATAACTTTTCGGGATTTGAACTTACTTATACAGAAATCCAGAAACTTTGGATAGAGCATCAGCTAGGGTGCAGAATACAGTGGTCTGAGCCCCATCCTCTGGGTGCTTCATCATATACCACATGAACGGTGCAAATGTCAGGTTGATGAACGCACTCTGACGGAATGGCATATGACGATGAATTTTGGTACGAACAACCCCTGGTATAATACAGTTCATAGTAACACCAACATCTGCAAAAAAGACAATTAAGGGTCAATGATATCATTTTTCAAACTGGCGTAACTTGTGTTGTCTAAAACTTTAACTGGTAGAGCTGTCATTGATGTCAAGAAATATCAATGTAATATTGATGTTTTTTGGGTATGTTTTCAATCGAAAGATACAAATAAACAATTACTCTACCAATTACATACATGTAGTAAGATCATAATTATAGCATTATGTTTCATTATCTGTACCTTGTAAAATATCTTATATATTATATCTTATAATATACTTGCCCTGTTTACAATTTGGAATAATTCATTTGTCATGAAAGGGATTTCCATATAAAACTGAGAAGCCAACAATACACCGTCTTGTCAACATTGACCAAGCTCTATACTGGTGGTATATGCAAGTCATTACTTTTAATAGAATTCTCAAATCTTTGTCGGCTTCAAGTGAGTAGCCGATACTGGTACCATGTTGAGAAAACATAGCTGTGATCCCTGACAGGGCTCAAACTCTTGATTCCTGAGCTTATACACATCTTAACTACAAGCACTGATCTAGATATTTTATGCAACTAGTGCAGACCCCTTAGTAAACACTGTAAAGCAAATCCAAATTTTCAACTTGTTTTACAAAACAAATTAATTTAAACTTTGCAAAAAAAACAAAACCTACCTTCAACGGGGAATCTCTTGGCAAACTCTTTGGTAAAGAAGACAACAGCTAACTTGCTCTGGGCGTAGGCAGCTGAAGGGACATATTCCTTCGTCTCAAAGTTGATGTCTTCAAAGTCCAGCTCGGCTAACTGATAAGCCGGGGCTGTTGTATTCATTATCCTGGACGGTGCTGATTGTTTCAGCGTATCGTACAGTAGATGTGTTAGGAAGAAATGACCTGTAACAGCAAAAGAATCATTATTTCAGGCAAACCATTAAATTACAGAAACTTTCAATTTCAAATAAATTTGAATCAAAATAAACATTTTTTTTTAATGAAACACATTTTCTTGTTTTTTTTTCAGTTAAGTTTTGAGTGATTTCATGATCAACATAAATGATGTCCTTGAAGTGGCACCAACCATCACACTACACACTAACAATAATGTCATGTGGGAATTTTCCAGCTTAACTGGTGGAGTAATTTCTCAGATGCCCTTTTCATGCATTACTTCAGGCAAAAATTGTTGTTAAAAACTAGAAATGTGTCATCATGCCACGGATGCCCCCGCATGCAGCCAAAATTTCAGATGTTATAATATTTAGTTCCAAATTTGTTTGCACAAATTATTGTTTTAATTTTAAGTTCAAAGCCCTTAAAACTTTTCAATGTTAACACAAACCATTTTCATACAATGTTCAAGGCACTGAAATTATTCAGTGTTAACCTTTTGAAAAAAGCATATTTCATATTTGTAGCCAAAATAATGGCTACATACATTTCCACAAAAGTATGAGTGCTGAAACTGAAAGTTCAAAATTTTTCCAACATTCAAGAAAGATAAGTTTGTCCAAAATCATTGAACCATGACCAAATTCAAACTTAAACTGCTTATTCCTAAGATGTATCTATATTATTTTCAAAGTGAAAGGGACATAACTCTGCCAAAAATCATCGAACCATGACCAAATTTAAACTTGACCTGCGCCTTCCTTTGACATATTCATATGTCAAATTTGAGTTTAATATGTAACACTGTTGGGTAGATAATGAACAGAAACTGTAAATTTCATATTATTTTCAAAGTGAAAGGGGCATTACTCTGCCAAAAATCATTGAACCATGACCAAATTCAAATTTGGCCTGGGCATTCCAAAAACATATCCATGTGTCAAATTTGAGTTAAATGTGTTGTACCGTTGGGGAGATAATAAACAGAAACTGAAAATTTCATATTATTTTCAAAAGTGAAAGGGGCATAACTCTGCCAAAAATCACCGAACCAATGACCAAATTCAAAACTTGACCTGTATTTTCTCATGATATATCCATATGTCAAATTTGAGTTGAATGTGTTGTACCGTTGGGAGATAATGAACGGAAACTGAAAATTTCATATTATTTCAAAGTGAAAGGGGCATATCTCTGCCAAAATACCATGACCAAATTCAAACTTGACCTGTATTTGCTCATGACATATCCCTATGTCAAGTTTGAGTTGAATATGTAATACTGTTGGGGAGATAATGAACGGAAACTGAAAATTTCATTTTATTTTCAAAGTAAAAGGGCATAACACTGCCAAAAATTATCAAAACATGACCAAATTCAAACTTGACCTGTATTTTGTCATAACATATCCATATGTCAACTTTGAGTTGAATGTGTGGAACCGTTACTAAGATAATGAACGGAAACTGATGATGACGGAATGACAGAATGACGGAATGACGGAATGACGGAAGGACGGAATGACGGAAGGACGGAAGGACGGAACAGGGTAACACTATATGCCCCGGCCATTACATGGCGGGGGCATAAAAAAACAGTTTAATATTACGTAAAATATGGGCTCAGAGCACTAAGACCTTACTATAACCAGAGATGTAGATAATGTTATTTATGTCTTCAGGCTCTGCTATAACAGAGGTCTGAAAAAAATTCTGCAAATTTATTTAAATTGACAATGACATTCATAACAGCAGTTCTTCTCACAAAATTATTGAGTTAGCATTTTAAAAAAGGTTTAAAATAGACAGAAACCTACCTAAATAGTTCACTTGTAAATGATACTCAAACTTATCATCTGTGATACTCTTTGGTGCCATCATAACTCCGGCATTGTTGATAAGGTAGTGAAGCTTATCCTCCTCTGTAAATGTATTACTTTTATCTTAACTGATACATAACTGTACAATCAAAGCTAATGTACATTAAAGATTTATTACAAACACCCAAAAGAATGTTAATTGAACACTAGAAATTTTGAAAATCTAGTGGATTAACTGCTTTGCAAATATCTTATCATACTAAGTTGTAAATGTCATTTTAATTTATACATAAATATATGTCCATATCAAATCAAGTCTGTGAGTTAGGACCAGTTTTGAGGTAAAAAATGGATAGCATTCCACTCTTCTGAAAGTATTTTTCCCATAAGAAAAAACTCCCATGTAAAAAGAATAAAAATTAAATATACTAGCTTTTTTTTTCCCTTCTTATTTTCATGTAAAGTGAATTACGATCAATGGAATTACATTTATTTATTTTCTTATAATGATAATTAATTATTATGACATAAATGTCCCTTTGGGTTGAAAAACAAATGATAATTGTCACATAAATATCCCCTCGGTTTAAAAAACAATTGGATGATTATTCATTCATTTAAAATAAGACCAGTTCATGTTAAATGCTGAATTCTGCGTAAGCCGGTGCTAGGGAGGCATGCACGGTCGCTTGCATCACTACCATCCATGAACAGGCTAAATCAAACCGAGCATGCAACATATACAATTTTGCAGTGCTGGGCTTGCTTTAGGGATTCTGTATTTCTCTATTATTCTGTACATTCACAAATCATATATTACTTACTCTTTTTAAAAGCATCCACAAAACTTTGCACAGACTTAAGAGATGATAGGTCGCATTTTATTGCAAATATCTTCTCATTTTTTGTCTTCTCTTTCACCTCTTTAACAACAGCTTCCCCATCACTAACACAAGCAATATAAACTCTTGCTCCTGGAAAAAGATATGTTTTGTTTTATATGTATTTTGCTTAATGGTGAAACAGTGCACATTGATGTTATGCTTATCATGGGTTTAAAAACTACAAGTATCCCTTAGCTTTTGATAGTGGCATGCAGTGTTTTATTCCCCACACAGTTTTGTTTTTATGAGAATTCACAATTTTCAAATTGTATAGTCACTGACAAAATTGTCAATACCTTAAACAAATGAGAAACTAAAGAGAGACACTTATCTATGAGACTTTACTTTAATCTTTAATAATGTCAATTAAGTTTTCAACACACAATGACTGTTTAACCAATTTAATAGCTAAATTTTAACAGTATGAAATTAATAACTAGTACTATTTTGGCTTATACATATTTCTTCGATATACATGTATTATTTGCATGATAAACAATATTTATACATACATTTTGGGATTGGGTACTAAGAAAGCTAGGAAAGCTTATGAGTGTCCTCTCAAATAGTACTATTTTCACAATTTAAATGGCCAGAAACCCATTCACAAAAAACTTAAATGGCATTTTGCTTGTCACTGACAAAGGGATATAACTACTATGTATCAAGAAAGTTGAAACATGGTACCTTCAAGTTATCTTAACTTGTCAATGAATGCTATGAATAAATTTGTGTCACACTTAGTAACTGTTACTCAGAAGCATGACTGCCTAAGCTAAAGAGGGCAACATGGAAACTTTAAAGTAAAGTAACAGAGTTGTTATGAAGTTAAAACAGTTCATTTAGACTGTTAATTTGTATGCAGAAGTGGACAAAACCAGTCATTATTTTTAGTAAAATTAATCAGCTGAAACCCTATATACATTGTAGTATAATACTACCATAAAGGGCATAAGCACAATTTAATCATTTATTTAACACTTTATATTCATTGAGAAGTCATAACAAAAACAGAAGAATAACAAAATATTAGAGTTTACCTCTTTTAGCAAAGTCTTCAACAATATATCTGCCAATACCACCATTGCCTCCGGTAACTATTGCTACCTTATCCTCTAATTTCAACTCACTAGTACACCTAGCACCCCTGAAGTACTGTCTAAATATACAAAATATATAAATTTTATGATAAATACTGTTTAAGGCATGGAAGCATTTATAACTAGTATGGATTACTTTATGTATGAATTTATAGGTTCTTTTCAAGTTCTTTGGAAGTTATATTTATGTTTTAACTGGTTTTACTTTTATGATGATCTTAACTCATTTCTGAAATTCTGATCATATCTCAGAAGTTGATAATCTAACCAGCTCTCCTGGATAACTAACCAGTAATAGCCAGTATCTCAGCAAGTGACTGGCTACTAATCCCATGTAGGTACTGGTCAATGACCTCCAATTAAAACCTAAAAAAGAGGGCCATGATGGCCCTGAGGTCGCTCACCTGTATATAGGCCCCCCACCCCGGGCCAATTTTTACCCAAGGGCTTTTATTTGTTTATTTGAACAGACTTGGTAGACATCCATAAGAAGATGTTTCATGCTAAACATCTAAGTTCTAGCTCATTGGCTTTTTTAAAAGAAGATTTTTAAAGTTTTTACTATACACATATAGTTAAAAACAATGTCACCCCTGGGGCAGGGCCAGTTTTGACCCCCGGGCGTTTATTTTAACAAACTTTGTAGATATTTACTTAAAGATGTTTCATGCTTAATATCTAAACTCTAGCTATTTGGGTTTTTCCAAAGAAGATTTTTAAGTTTTTGCTATACACATATAAGGAAAATCAATGACCCCCTCCTTGGGCGGGGCCAGTTTTGACCCCAGGGCTTTTATTTGAACATACTTGGTAGACACCCATTAGAACATGTTTCATGCTAAATATCTTAGCTCTAGCTCTTTGAGTTCTTTAAAAGAAGATTTTTTAAGTTTTTACTATATGCATATAGGGAAAATCAATGACCCCCGGGGCGGGGCCAATTTTGACCCCAGGGCTTTTATTTGAACAAACTTGGTAGACACTCACTAGAAGATGTTTCATGCCAAATATCTAAGCTCTAGCTCTTATGGTTCATTAAAAGAAGATTTTTTAAGTTTTTACTATATGCATATAGGGAAAATCAATGACCCCCCGGGGCGGGGCCAATTTTGACCCCAGGGCTTTAATTTGAACAAACTTGGTAGACAATCACTAGAAGATGTTTCATGCTTAATATCTTAGCTCTAGCTCTTTGGGTTCTTTAAAAGAAGATTTTTAAGTTTTTACTATATGCATATAGGGAAAATCAATGACCCCCTGGGTCGGGGCCAATTTTGACCCCAGGGCTTTTATTTGAACAAACTTGGTAGACATTCACTAGAAGATGTTTCATGCCAAATATCTAAGCTCTAGCTCTTACGGTTCTTTAAAAGAAGATTTTTTAAGTTTTTACTATATGCATATAGGGAAAATCAATGACCCCCAGGGGCGGGGCCAATTTTGACCCCAGGGCTTTTATTTGAACAAACTTGGTAGACACTCACTAGAAGATGTTTCATGCCAAATATCTAAGCTCTAGCTCTTATGGTTTTTTTTAAAAGAAGTTTTTTCTTTTGGTTGCCATGGCAACCAGAGTTCTGCATGGAATTAAATTCTTTGAACAATTTTTAAAGGTGACCACCAAAGGAACATTCCTGTGAAGTTTGGATGAAATTGGCTCAGTGGTTTATGAGGAGATGTCATTTAAAGCAAAAGTTTACGGACGGACAGACGGACGCCGGACGAAAAGCGATCACAAAAGCTCACCCTGTCACTTTGTGACAGGTGAGCTAAAAATGTGTAAAGTTTTATAATATTTAACTTAATACCTTCTTTAACTGTTCACAATGGGCTATAACCTACATGTAGTTCATGTAAGAATAATGCTAGATAACATTAGGGCTGTAACGATTACTTGGATGCTCGGAAAATAGTGATTCAGACATTGACAATACCGCAGCATGTTATATAATTAAGAAATACAAAGATTTGTTTCAACTTCACTGTTAATGAAATTTCAACAAAGATCAACCAGAAAACCGTATGTACATATACTGTATACATTTTTAAATGCTCAGACTGAAAAGTATGGATTCGTCCTTATGCATTTGTCCTTTGGCACATTTAAAGTCAACAAGAAAATAGTATACATGTTCGTTTAAAAGTTAAGTAATGAAAAAAAATTTTGATACATATTACTATTTTAACAACTCAAACTGACAAAACATTTCCACATTAAAAAACATGGTATGTACATAGACTTACAGTTACTTAATTAAGCGTGAATGGGTTGACCATTTAAGTAACTGTTTTTTTCCTACCAGTCAAACTGTTACAACCTAATTTTAACTGTCATTTTTAGCATGGAAAATTTATCAAATTTATTGGTATCACTGTTGCTAGTTTGAATTGATTCAAAATCAGTTAAAATCAGAAAACATCTTTCAGTTCTTCAATAAATCATTAGAATATATATTTTGTTACATATCTCAATCAAAAATTTATTCAATAACAGCTCTCTGAACACATACAAGCAGTTTGTTTTGAATTTGTATTGTAAACTATTTCTTTGGCGGACATTTTATAAGGTCATCATAAAAAAATAATTTCAAGATAATTTTTCATAGAAACGAATAATTGGACGATCCGGAATTGTCCATTTAATTTTTCTTAACAATTTAAATGTTCACAATCAAATAATCAATATTTGTAGCAGTTTATGCATCCATTGTTTAAATTATTTACAGAACTGTAACTTAAAACTTCAGTACCATTAGCTAGACTTCTGTGAAAAGAGCATTCACATGGCTCCAACAAGTATCCCTTCAAACAGTCAAATATTACGAATTGGCATTTAACACTTAAAAATAAAATCAACACAACAATAACCACTGATTGACTATGTCGTGTTTGTTGCTTGCCAACAACACATATGCGACTTCAGCTGCAATCAATATTGAGCATTGGAAAAACTGGCATTCTGATTGGCTGAAGACGCATAATGGTTGACAAACGTGAAGCCCCTCCTTACATGTAAATCTTACACAGTAGCAGCTGGCTACTGCATATTTTAAGGACAACAATCATGAATGACAAGTGGATTTGGAATTTTTAAGCGTACAAGGGACTGACAATCAGATTCTTTTAGCTTACATCTGCAGAAAATATGCGTAAAAATACGCTCAAATAAGTGTTTCTGAGAGCCCTGTGCAAGGCCAAAAATAATAATCTAGTCATGACTAATGACATCTCAGACAGTTATTTTAAGACTGTATATTGCGCATGTATTTTTTTTGGAAAAATGGCACAATAACCCTGCATGTCCATACATGATGTTCTATCAGTGTTCTATCATAAGCAAAATTTTATCATTTTTTGCCCCGCCCAACAGTAAATTTACATGGTTACGAAAATAAGACATAACAAAAATAATAAAATGAAATTTCTAACATGCATTTGAATTCAATGCTTTTAAAAAACAAATTATTTGAAAGAGAATTATATGTAACATGTTTAATTGGAAATTGAGAATGGAAATCTAAACCGATTGCACTCGCGAAAATACATTACAAATTAAATTTTACCTAATTCCATAGAACAGTCCGCCTACTAATGCAATAATAATTGGCCACCAAGACTGAAAGATAGCCTCAGGATCAGGCATTCCAGGGGGAAGTCCTGGCATACTTGGTTTAGTAGACATTTTGATTAAAACTAGAATGCCAAATTGAGGATTACACCGAAATAATTACACGTCGTGATAATTTCTCCATTTGATGTGACTTTGAATTGTCATTTTTCATTGTTTTCAGGTCTGTATGGTCTCTAATGACATATTTCTTGTCAAAATTATTGAAGGGAATGATAGCTTTAGATCTGTTTCTGAAATCGTATTTTTCAATAATCAAAGTCCATGATTATATTGATGTATATGAATTATTAGATAGGTTTTCGAACTAGGCTGTGCACCACTAAAGTTTATATAAAATTCGCCCCACTGACGATTCGACCCTCACTTTTATGACGATTCGCCTCACTTTATATTCAACATAATTTCAATTTATTTTTAATTAATACGTCTTTTTGAAAATGTCAGTATTATAGATAATATAAGAAATTCATAGAATGGGGAAGTTGGTTATAATGATTGTTCATTTTTTATTTTCCAACCCGGCCTTTGACTTCCCTGTATTAAATTGATGTTCTGAAATTGATAATTATTTTGCGATACCTATTTATCATTGACTTATAATACAGTGGTAAAAAATCACCAAAAATAGAACATTTTCCTGTCTAGACCCCACAATCCTTTGCGTGAGATTCATTGGCTGTTTAAATTTTGGTCAAATTCCGACAACTTGTTTTACATAATTGAATGTGTTTGTACATTTTCATCCATTTGTACCAATAATGATTTTATTACTTTTAAAAGTGTCTAATCGTAACTTATCTGGGACTTTTTGTCATGAGGCAAATTGTTATGAGATGAATTGTCAGTGGGGCTAATCATTACCAATTAGAATTTGTCAGATTTGCCTTAAGTATGGTAATGATTTAATTGAATTTGATTTTAAGCTGTATTGATATTGATAAATTTGGTGTTTTTATCATTTTGGGGAAACCTCTTTTGCATTGATCTGATTAATGAATTGCTATATCTGTTTAATTTACAGATTTCTCAAGTTAACTGTTTTGTGATGATATTATTGATAAGATGAAGATACCAACAAATATTATTCTGTTCAGTGGTATAGGAACAGCCTTTGGTGCTGGTGTCCTTCTCAAGTAAGTAGAAAAAACCCAGGTAAATAGAGAATATTCACAGAATGAGTGTATGTTAAATACTAAATTTATTGAGAAAGTTGAATAAAGTCATTTAAGGCAAGCCTCTGATGAGAATAATATTTTAAAGTTTGATTCAATATGTAATAAATTTAGCTATGAACCAACACAACTATAATATTCTTTTAATCACATAGACAAAATAAGAATTGTTTACATTAAAGCAGCAAACATTTAACATATGAACATATCAGAATTTTAATTACTTCAATTAATTCAACAACTTATATGTAAAAAAACTAAAATCTATTAACATGTATGTCTATATCCTAGCCTTTCAGTTACCTCACTTACATTAAGTAATATTCAATGTACATGTTTCTTCAGAGATTATTATGGTGGAGAGAGATACAAAGAAAAACATGACATTCTAGCAAAGACAGTGATAATCACAGGTGCTAACACTGGGATAGGAAAGGAAACAGCCAAAGAATTAGCAACAAGAGGTATACTATAAAAACTTTCGATGGTCTGATATCATGGATGCAAAAACATTAGCCATGAGAGGTACACTTTAAAATGTTTATGTGGTCAGATATCATTGATGCAAAGAAAAAGCCATGCGATGTTTACTGTAAAATGTTTATTTGGTCTGATATTATTGATACATCAATGAATTAAGATTAATGATCTTATTATGCAGTAGCTTATACAATGCTGAGGTATCGATACATGGCTATACATTTTACTAATATGAATTAGGCAAAGCCTATGAACGGGGAAGTCGTTAAAAATTCCTTTCATTCTTTCCGTTTTAAAGGTGTCATTCGGTATTACATGCACCGCTTCTGTTTTCACTCGGAATACTCGACGATTATCTTTTATCCGAAAAGTTGAGATTTGTTCCGTTATCGGAATACCCCGCCTATTATCATTGAGTTACATTGTAAATGGCGGCGCCCGACTAGAACTGACACTGAAAATTTCATTGATAGGTATAGAATTCTATATATTTTTTAATTGTTTTTTATTTGATTTTCTTTTAAATATACACGTGTAGTCTATAGCCGGGCAAGCCAAAGCCCGGACCCGCTTCGCGGGCCCGGTCTTTGACTTCCCCGTATTAATTAAGTCTTGTTCTCTTATTTGAACAGTGCTGTAGTTTCAGAGGCTCGTAACTGCTTATTGTTTATTACTTTATTACATAATTGAAGCCAGAAATATAATGTTTAAATAGCCATAGTCACTGTTGGTATAACAGAATAAACAGATATAAAACAGGGTATAGTGGGCATTATCTTTTAAGACTTGAACATTGCAAACCTTGCATTCAAAACCGTCAGTTTAGCGCAATAGGTAGAGCGTTGGACTGTGAAATGGGTGACCCGGGTTTGATTCCCGGAAAGTGCAGGTCACTTTCATTGTGATTGATCATGATATCTTTTCTATGGTCATTTGCACTGAACCTCTGCTCTGGCATGTACAGAAGTTTCAGTTCCTTGTGAAAGTGAAGGCAACTGGTACTGGTAAACTGCTTGACAGCCTGCCCAGGAACGATGCAGTGGCTGAACTGTGCTCTGGTAAATTCAATGTGGCTTACTGTTGACATCCGGAGTAAAAACTACCAACATAACCTTGCATTCATATTGACTAAATATAAGTATCATGATTCTGTATCATTAGTATTACCAAGATATAGTGGTCATATTGTAATTTATTTTCAGCAGTGATACCCAACTCTAGTAAAATGTCTTTTAAATCATCTGTAAAGTAACACACATTAATTCTTGGTCTAACTGTTTCTTCAGGCCATTATCTCTGAATTGCTTAATTATGCACTTATAAATCAGTAAGAAGGCATGAGAAGAAAATATGAATTACCAGTCTTATCTTTTTTATTAGTGGAAATATTTTATGGCCTTGAAATTATTGTTCTATACATTGAATGAAGCTTAGAAAAAAAATGCACAAGAAATAATATGTCTGTAATTACCTACAATGTGTATTAATTGATAATAAACTTGAAATTACAATCTTTATATTCTGCTCAAATACCTTAGTTTTATTTTTAATCACTTGCCTTTATATTATTTGTGATGTATGTATAACATTTATCATAGTTTGGGGACCTTTCTGTTGAAAATGTGTCAGAGTTAAATCGTATACATATACACGCACAGTGCGTTAACTGGCGTGCAGGTATCAGTTAACCGCACTCCAGAGCATGCCTGTTGAGTGGCTCATTTTTATACGCCCGTTTGAAAAACGGGACGTATTATGGGAACGCCCCTGGCGGGCGGGCGGGCGGGCGGGCGGCATCCAATTTTGTCCGGAGCATATCTCCTACATGTATGGAGGGATTTTAATGAAACTTCATATAAATGTTCACCACTATGAGGAGCAGTGTCGAGCACATAAACCAGGTCTCTAGGTCAAAGGTCAAGGTCACACTTAGAGCTCATTGAAAAATGCTTGTCCGGAGCAAAACTTCCACATGTATAGAGGGATTTCAATATTACTTGGCACAAATGTTCACCATTGTGAGGCGGAGTGTCGCGTGCAAGATTCAGGTCCTTGCGGCCAAGGTCAAGGTCACACATAGAGGTCAAAGTTCAGATAAAAATATGAAGATGTGTATATGGACCATTTAGTCATCATTTATTGAGGGATTGTAACACAAATGGTCATTATCAAGACAATAGCTGTGATACATATAATTTAGGTCAATATATACAAGGTCAAGGTCACTAAAGATGATGAAATATCCAGATTTTGTAAATAGAATTTAATCAAAGGGCGACAACAAAGTTATTACTTTGTTCATAAATGACTTACACAATTACTCCCCTTGATCTACTTTCACTTTCAATTCTAAAAATAGAATTTAATCAAAGGGCATGAAATAATCCTCTTTCTTGGACTTGAGTATGTTCTAAAGAATGTAACATTTATTTACACATGTTTCATTCATTGGTCAAGATTCTTAACTGTGATAACTATGGTGTTCTGTAGACTTGGTATTTGTTCATAAAGATCATACAGTAATTACCTTATCAAATGTAAATACTTTCTCATAGAAATTTAATTATATTTTAATTTTCAAAGTAAATATCAGTTCAGCTCATTCAAAGATTAAGAATTGTAATGAAATGTATTTCCCTAGAATAAAATCTTAAATCAGAATTTTTTTAGTTATTAAATTACAATTACATGTACTTTTTATACGCCCGTTTAAAAAAAGATAAAAATATGAAGATGTGTATAGGGACGATTTAATCATCATTTATTGAGGGATTGTAACTCAAATGGTCATTATAATGACTACGGCTGTGACACATGTACTTTAGGTCAATAATATGCAAGGTCAAGGTCACTAAAGATGGTGAAATATCCAGATTTTGTCTGGAGCATATCTCCTACATGTATGGAAGAATTTTTATAATACTTTATGGAAAAATGTTCACCACCATGGTAATGTAATTGCTCCATGCATGATCCAGGTCAAAGGTCAAGGTCACACTTAGAGCTCATTGAAAAACGCTTGTCCGGAGCAAATTTCTACATTCATAGGGGGTTTTCAATATAACTTGGCACAAATGTTCACCATTGTGAGGCTGAGTGTCGCATGCAAAATTCAGATCCCTGCGACCAAGTCAAGGTTACACATAGAGGTCAAAGTTCAGATCAAAATTTGAAGATGGTTATAGGGACCATTTAGTCATCATTTATTGATGGATTGTAGCACAAATGGTTAACTATCATGACTACAGGTGTTTACACATTTAATTTAGGTTAATATTTGCAAGGTCAAGGTCACTGGAGATGATTAAATATCCAGATGTTGTCCGGAGCATATTTTCTACACGCATGGAGGAATTTTAATTTTACTTTTATAGAATTGTTCACCACCATGAGACGTAGTGCCCTGCACATAAACCAAGTCTCTAGTCAAAGGTGAAGGTCACAGTTAGAGCTCATAGAAAAAACACTTGTCTGGAGCAAAAACTTCTACATGCATAGAGGGATTTCAATATAATTTGGCACAAATGTTTCATCATTGTGAGGCTGAGTGCCGTGCATAAAATTCAGGTCCCTGCGACCAAGGTCAAGGTCACACATTCTGTGCATATCTTCCCTACTGATTTGTTTTAAGGTTCATTTAACAACACAGTGCCAAGAATAAAAACTTGCTTGCTAGATAACACTTATCCATAATGCCCCCATCTCCATCTAAAGCTTTTTCGTAAACGGGCGTATTTTGTGACTATGGCACCCTTGTTGCTAGCTGGGGTTTACTTATTATGACAGCAGAGAAAGGAGAAGCGGCAGAAATATTATTATTCAGATGCTCGTTCATTGGTAGCTTTTTTCTGGGGTTTTATATTGTGACATTTTACAGGGAACACGTTGTTATGTTTGACTATGATACAAAAGAGAAAGAACACCAAAACACTCAGCAATCTGATTTATATTCAGGGGCTATGCCCCCTCCTACAAATCAGATAACCTCGTGTTTCGGTGCTCTTTCTATTACATTATTTTTATTCATCAAATAGTAATTTACATGTATTTATTATGTTTTAACTTTCAGGGGGCAGATTAATATTAGCTTGCCGGAATTTAGAGAAATGTGAGAAAACAAAGGACGAGATTATTCAGGAGTCTTTCAATAAGAGTATAGTTTGTAAGAAACTAGATCTTGCATCATGTGAATCCATCCGAAACTTTGCAAAAACGGTCGTAGAAGGTACAGTGTGAATTTTATTCCCTTTAAATATGGCAGCATGGGAGTGGTTTACCCGCCAGACTTGTAAATATAAAGATTACTAGCCGCATGGGTTCAACCTCCATGGGACCAAGCTGTAGTTTCCTTGAACAACAAACTTCACTCATTTCTTAGTACATGGGTGCAAGTTTTCAGGCATATGCCAAATTTTATCATGTTTTACTATTAGATTATGTAGGAAAATGATTATGAATTTCAGTTTTAATTTTTATTAATTTTCAACTTGCACCCATGTTATTACTGGTTGGTTTTATAAACAGATTTAGGAATGTCCCATTAAGCTTATTTTTATACTATACCCCTTAAAGGATTTCCCTTCATGTCAAAAAAGCTCAGTGGAGTCCCTTGAATGCACACAATCATATTATATGTTATTTTGGTTTTGGAGTGATATATGTGGATATATTACCTGCCAAGATTTTATATCACCCGAGCCGTTAGGCGAGGGTGATATTTTATCTTGGCAGGTAATATATCCACATATATCACTCCAAAACCAAAATAATAATTTTATTACCCTTCCCCTGCCGAGTTTAAACGATTTTTTAAAATATCATTGCTGTTTCAAATGAAACGTCGAAATAAGATTCCCTTTAGGGTACCTCTTCATCACAACATGACGTCACATAAATACATGACGTATTTTTCCCGTACGTAACGAATGTAAACAAGAGAAAAGGAGTTGTCTATTGAAAGCACTTTTTTGTAATTAATATCAAGCTTTCACAAGGTCATATTTGTTTTCAATACTGATGGGAATTTGTATCATTACTCTACTTTAGTAAATATTTATCATTTGACAGTTAAAAGTGCTTGTAAATCGGAATTTACACCGCGTAAAATCGAACCGTACGCGCATCACCTCAGCGCATGTCGTTTACAACGTTGGGTACCCAACGGGAAAATTTAGTGTGTATATTACCCGTCTGGCTCGGTTATATCAATTTCTTTCGGGTGATCAATATCCAATCAAAAAGGCGGAAAAAATCTGGAAGGGTAATAAACATGTATGTCAATCAGAGTGGTTGTAAAATGGTACAGCATTTAATTTGATGAAATTTACAAAACTAAGCATACACAATTTAATGTTGTAAGGAGTCAGAGATTATTGTGGTATCAAGTTAATAGTCAATCCTGTATACATAAAAATGACCGAGTGGTTAAAGTTCCTGACTTCAAATCATTTGCCACTCAAGACTCCTACAATAGACTTGGGACTGTCAGATATTAACATTTTAGCTTGCCAGGTTATTGACGTTCAGTAATTTAACTTAAGGCCAAGCTCATGCCTGAAATAATGCATGTAGGGCACCTGAAGTCTTACTTGAGCAGTAAAGCTGTAACATTGCAGTGATCTCAAAAACCAGGGGAATTTATTTATATACAAGTTATGACCCTTAGATGTGATCCTTCATGCAGGTTTTTTAATTGAAGACATAGTTGAAAATTAAAGCTAATTTTAATTGTGCAAGCTTATTAGCTTAAGGTTTTCAGCGTACCCGTTTATGTACTATGACAATTGACGCATCAGATGAAAAATAAAAATGTTGAAAAGTGGCTTATAAAGTTTTGAAAGCCAGAACTACAAACGTGTATGCAAATATGCAATTTCATCATTAATTAACTCTTTGATTCTATGATTTATTTTGATTGTTTTTGTTTGTTTTAGAGGAGAGACATATAGATATACTAATAAACAACGCTGGTGTAATGGCATGTCCAAAAGAATTTACAGAAGATGGGTTTGAATGGCAATTAGGAGTTAATTATTTAGGTAACTCTTTTCATTTCTTTTATCTCTTAAAATTTGAGGGGGGTGGGGGGGACGCGGGGGACACTAATTAGAGGGGGGCATTGATTGGAAATAATACAGTAGCTGATAATTGACAGTTGAATTCATGTAACTCATCAGGACCATTCTTCTTATGAATATATTATATTTTTTCTTCATTCTAATTGATTTCATTATTTTAAAAATCATTTCTTCTTACATACAATATATTACAGTCGACTCTCGTTTATCTCGAAGTCATCGGGAACCGTCCAAAAATATCGAGATAACGAAATGTCGAGATAAACATATTATGATATTAGGGTTTGAATAAGGCAGAAACTGATTTTTACAAAAAGACATGTGCATACCTTATGTCAAATAAACTATGATATCCCCATGTCTTGTTTTCATAGGCCTAGTCCAATATTTAACAAAGTAACCATTAGCGGATGTTACCAGCGGAAATACGGGTTTCTGTGATAAAAAACACATCGTGAGGTTTACTCAGTAATACACCAATATAGTGGAAAACATTATTTTCAGGATGGTTGATTTGGATATCCTCCTAGGTTATTTATCGGGTCTTTCTCGATGTTGTTCGAACCGCTGATTGATTTGGTTTTGATGTTATAAAACAATATTGCAACGATAGCGTTTATATACTTTCACTATTTCATTTACATTAAAAGTCATAATGAATTGATACAGTGTTCGAATTTTTATAAATAATAGAACGTAAAATTCACTCATTTTGGACATAAGTCAATCAACACGCTAAATCTAGATTTACTTTTATAAAAACAGCTAAACATGTTACAAACATAATCATCATTATGACACGCGCTATTGAGCAATCATCGTCTGGTTTGTGTTTTTCACACGTCTGAAGGGAACAGACGAAAGAAAAACTATTAGTCCGAGATAAACAAAGAATAATAGTGTTGAAAATAACTGTTGGGGCTGAAATTGTACATCGAGATACTGAAAATATCGAAATAAAAATATCGAGATAAACAAATATTTCCAATATAGATAAAGAAGGAAGAAAATCGGGACTTTCATAATTTTATCGAGATATCGGAATATCGAGAAAAGCGATGTCGAGATAACGATAGTTGACTGTATATATAATATCTGATTTCAAGTTGCAGGTCAATTTTCTTCTCAGTTATGTTCTTTTATAATTTCAGGACCATTTCTTTTAACTAATTTATTGCTAGACAAGTTAAAACAATCACCCAGTGCCAGAATAATAAACCTTGTCAGTCCTTTGTATAAAAGGTCAAAAATAAACTTTGAAGATTTGAACAGTGTACAAAATTATCATCCAAAAGAGGCTTATGGTGTGAGTAAGTTGGCGCTAATGTTATTTTCCCAGGAATTGGCTCGAAGACTTGAAGGTAAGGAGAATATTAACATGGCTAACATTTATTCTTTTAAAAGAAAATCCGCTTGTAAGTAAGTTAGTAAAGGGCTGTTGTATCCTATATTCTAACATAAGAATGACCTTTCAATGACCTTTAAATTTAGGTACATGTAATGCTCTGATAGAGTGGTTATCATTTCAGTCCATTTCACTCCTAAAACTGTTCCAACCATAATGGTTCACAGCGAGAAGTTTTACTGCTAAAGGGAAAGCAAGTTGTCTTGAAGAAGTTTCATTCCCTAATTTGATACTATAACACTACAGATTTAGTTTTAGTTTTATAAATCAGTTATTTTTAAAATTTAATTCCATTAGAGCTGTCGTCGACAGAAACAGTATTGATCAAGTGTTTATTTTATTTTGGTTAGTTTATATGAACATGTACGGTAAACTCTGCTTATAATGAAATTCTGTGGACCGCTGAATTTATATCATTATTTTCGGGCATCGTTATATTAGAGAAGCAACCAATCCCAAGAGTCATGACCCCAGCAACAGCATCGTTATAAGCTCTATATATATTTATTGTTATAAGTGGAGTTAATTGTATATGAGATGTTTACCGGTTTTGCATGCCGCTGGCCGGATCACAGAGACTCGGAACAGTGTTGGGATAGTGTAAAAAGGAATTTTAGAAAAAAATATATACAAATGATGATTATGTTTGTTACAAGTTTAGCTGTTTTTATAAAAAATAATCTATTAACGTGTTGATTGACTTAAGTCCAAAATGAGTGAATGATACGTTCTTTATAAATATTCGAACACTGTATCAGTTCATTATGACTTTAAATGTAAATGAAAAAGTGAAAGTATAGAAACGCTATCGTTGCAAAATAGTTTCACAACATCACCACTAAATCAATCAGCGGTCGAACAATCTCGAGAAAGACCCGATAACTAGCCCGAGAGGATATCCGGATCAACCACCCTGATAATAATGTTTTCACTTTATTGGTGTATTACTGAGTAAACCTCACTATGTGTTTTTTATCACAGACACCCCTATTTCCGCTGGTACACATCTGCTAATGTTATTTTGTTAAATATTGACTAGGCCTATGAAAACAAGACATGGGGATATCATAGTTTATTTGACATCAGGAATGCACATGTCTTTTGTAAAAATCAGTTTCTGCCTTATTCAAACCCTAATATGTTTATCTCGACATTTCGTTATCTCGATATTTTTTGGACGGTCCCGATGACTTCGAGATAACGAGAGTCGACTGTACTGTATATATAATATATAGACTATAATACAGTATATATTTTTTTCAGAATTACTCTTTACACTATCCCAACACTGTATCCAGACCCTGTTAGCCGGATTATGATATACATGTATGTGTATTTTATAAATTTCTAATTAGCACTAATCTATTTATAATCTATTAATAGGTACTAAATATTACAGTAAACTGTGCTATTCCTGGTATATCCAAAACTGAAATTGGACGTCATCTACCGATGGCACAAGCAAAATTTTCCGGTGGTTTATTGTCCCCAGTAATGTGGCTTGCTATGAAAACACCACTACAAGCTGCCCAAACCTCAGTTTATCTAGCTGTAGATCCAAGTTTGGAAAAAGTAACAGGAAAATTATTTTTGTAAGTATTTTACTTGTCCCCATATTGCAATCTCATTAAAATAAGATCATCGTTTTTGCTCCATTACTCTCAGCTGAGCTACTTAGCGAAGGGTAGTGGAGCGACAGTTAGGAAATAATTTTAATGAGATTGCCTCATATTGTGACTTGTTAAGGTTTCTGATCTCCCTTTTGACAGGAAAACAAAGCTATACTTTTACTATTATATGGATAACTCCTCTTTGTTTTCAATGTGATACAAACATTACATATTTCTTTATATTACACATTTACATTTACAAACTGTTATCCATTGGCTAAGCCATTTTAAAATTACCTGTGAAATGTTAATTTTGTTATTTTTCAGTGTTTATTTAGCTTAATAGTAATGTAATATGAGAATGAAAATCTTGCATGCTTTATCATTTGATATTAGACTTAATTAAATCTCTCACTATAGGCTTGTTTTATATCATTTATTAGACTCATAGAAAATGATCATTTGTATGGTAAACTTATATATGATTAAGTGTCTATGCCGAAAGAAGTAGGGAGAATAAGACTATCCTATACACTACAAAGATTATAGTTGCTGATGACAGGTTTTTCTCTACAGAGATTGAATGATTTTACAGTGCACCAACACAGTATAGGTCATATGGTGCCAAAACAGTAAAGTTGATTTTGGCTTACTTCAAAGCAACACCATGGGTCAATAACCAACTCATCTGATGAGCAAAGAGATGCATAGACTCCAATTATTCAAACCCATTAAGTCACCTCATGATCATGTGGGGATAAGATGTGGCTGCAATTCTTTATTCTCAACCATTTAAAGGCAACCCTCGGCCACAAGAGGATAACTTTATTGTGAAGTTTTACTTTGGGAATTTAATGACATTTATTGTAAAGATATGATTGGTTTATAGAGAGCTGTTTTGTAGAGATTTTACTGTATTATTATATTTATTTGATTTCAGTAATTCAAGAGAGACTTCTATAGCATCACCAGCTCTGGATAAGGAAGTGGCTAAAAGGATGTGGTTAATAAGTGAAAAATGGACAAAACTTTCTTCGTGACACCAACATACAGAATAAACACTTTATGAAAATATTTAATATGCAATTTTTACTAAGAAAAGATGGTAAAAAAGTGATATTTTGTATTGATATATGTGATGAATATTTACATACTGACATTATGCCCATTTTTTTCATTGTCAAGCTGAAAGGACTTGCGTATATATTTACAAAAAGATTGACTATTCTAAATATACCAGAGATTAACCAATAATTGATAATGACAAATGATAAGAGTGAATATTAAAACTGCCTAAAATAAAATGTCCCATTTTGTTATCAAAAGAACATTAAATGTAACTTATGAAGGTTATTTATAAAAATTCCTGTGGGTCACGTGAGTGTTTGACTGTTAATATGTAACAAAAATATGAATTGAAAATAATTATAATAAAATTTTTTATATCCTTTACTAGTACACTAACAATTTACACTTGGATTATAAGGGCATAATGTAACTTTTTATAGTACTGATGTGAAATATAACTGTAGCATGAAATTAACAAAATTCATGATGAGATTCTGAAATGGAATCAAATTAGGTTTTTTGACATGATAACACTGGAAATAATTTTTAAAGGACTAGACCAATATTTCAGATCAATACATGTAGCTCACTCCGTTTTTCACGAATAGTTATTTTACTTGTGAAAAAGACCCAAATTGAAAAGTGTTGAAACGGTTTTTACTATTTTAGGGCTGAGAAAGCACAAAAATATGATATTTCAATCTTTTTCAAAGAATGTTTCTTAATCATCTTTTAAATATCTTTCTGTTCTTCATGCCACAGCTGATTTATGTAATAAACAATTTTAATTTTGTTTGTTTGTTTAAGGAACTGAGGTCTAAAAGCCCTTAAACAAACAAACAAAATAAAAATTGTGGGCATATTCTTTATGATGTAGACAAGAGTTTATTTGTTTTGCATTGTATGATTGTTATTGACTGTCCTTATTTCAGAGCAGGACAAGTTAATTGTATATAACCAACAAATTTCAGTAATAACTAAACATGTATGTGGATTTTGTAAATAGTTTCTAGTTTTGTTAATGTTATTTTCTGTGCATTATTTAAGAGTTGTTTATAAAAGAAATTTGTTTGAAATCAACACGTTAAATTTCCGGTATCCCGCTAAATATCTTAAATTGACTTGCCTGTTCATCAATCTGGACAAACCATTCTTCATTTATATAAAATTTAAAACACATGATTTCTAAATAACAATCAGTGCAGATCATGATCAGATGGCACTGTGCCTGCTTTTCTAGGTATGTTCTTGTTGTATGGGTACATTCAATTGCTGATAGAAGGCTAAAAGTTAATACTATCATTCCTGTCCTTGAATCATAGTTTGGAGACCTTTCTTTTGAAACCCAAAAAGAAATTTCATTATTTGGGTTATTGAGATGTTTCATACATGTATATGAAGAAATAATATTTCCAAAAGGATGTTTTATAATTATGCTCATCATTGAAGATAAACTGTTTTATGTGTTATAAAGATATTAGCATTATTGAAAATCTTGCTGTTTTTAGCTTGACTATACGAAGTATCAATCTCCAACGCAGTGATCTCCCCTTTAATATCAGTACACAGAGATCTCTGCCACCATGGTCCGATATATCAGAATTTCTGATATTTTATATTTTTTAGCTTTTGAATTTAGTTTTCATTATTTTGTATACTTTTGCTAATTTTTTTATAAACTATAACGAACGTAGGTACGAAAAGTTAAAAATAAAACGGAAAGAGAAAATTGACATTAGATTTTCTATGTAACGGTTGATATTTACATTTGAATTTTGACATTATGTCATGTGACTTTCATCGTCATGTGACTTTCATCATCATGTGACGTCTGGGAAGGCAGTGATTACAATCTGTAAAGGGGGTTAATCACTGTGAGGAGTTTGACGAAGTATATGGAGAGCTGTCCTACTCGTCCTGGCGCTGGGGTCCGCATCCGCCTCCAGATTTCAGATTAAAGTTTTGGTGCAGTAAAATATTTTTCACTATAACTTTGTCATTTCTTAAGGTATCAACTTCAAACTTAAATATATGTCATCTTATGTGACAAGGTTCATAAATATATTTATCTCCCCTTGAACTTAGAATTTTCCTTATAAAATACTATTTTTCAACTGTTACTTCTTTATTTCTTAAGGGATCAATTTCATACTTCAAATTTATGTACCTTATCATCAACCACATCTTATGTGACAAGGTTCATAACTCTAGCACCAATATTTTCAGATTTATCTCCCCTTGAATTTAGAATTTTCCTTTAAAAAATATTATTTTTTACTGTTACTCATTTATTTCTTAAGGGATCAACTTCATACTTCAAATATATGTACCTTATCATTAACCACATGTTATGTGTCAAGAGTTCATAACTCTAGCACCAATATTGCAAGAATTATCTCCCCATACACTAAGATTTTTTATTTGAAAAATGTTATTTTTTACTATAACTTTTTTTAGTTTTAAAGGTATCTACCTCAAACTTCAAATACTTATTCCTTATCATCAATTACATTTTATGTGACATTGTTCATAACTCTTGAAGCAATATTTACAGATTTATCTCTCTTTGAACTAAGGATTTTCTTAAAGAAATATTATAACTTTTTAAGGTATCTACTTCAAACTTCAAATATATATTTCTTATCATTACACACATGTTATGTGACTAGGTTTATAACTCTAGCGTGACTATTTCCAGAATAATTCCCCTTGATCTTGGAATTTATGTTAACAATGTTATTTTTTTACTATAACTTAATACATAATTATACATAATTGATTTTTATGCCCCCACAAAGTGGGGAGTATATAGCGTTGCACTTGTCCGTCTGTCCGTCCGTACATCCCGAAAACTTGTGAACGCAACTCCTCTTAAACCGGATGGCAGATTTTGCTTAAACTTCCAGGGATGAACAACCTTAATGTGTAGATGGTATTCAAGGAAAGAATTTTCGCTGCGACCAAATTTAACAGAATTATGGCCCTTTGCTGATTTTTTCACTATATACTATGTAGAAATTTTGTGAACGCAACTCCTCTTAAACCAGATGGCAGATTTTGCTTAAACTTCCAGGGATGAACAACCTTAATGTGTAGATGGTAGTAAAGGAAGGAATTTTTGCTGCAACCAAATTTAACAGAATTATGGCCCTTTGTTGATTTTTTCACTATATACCATATAGAAATTTTGTGAACGCAACTCCTCTTAAACCGGATGGCAGATTTTGCTTAAACTTCCAGGGATGAACAACCTTAATGTGTAGATGCAAGTTAAGGAAGGAATTTTTGCTGCGACCAAATTTAACAGAATTATAGCCCTTTGTTGATTTTTTCACTATATACCATATATATGTTGTCAGTGGGGGCATCCGTGTCCTATGGACACAGTTCTAGTTCTTTCATAGTTTTGTCTTCCTTACTGCGTCCAGTATTTTATTAGTCGAGCATCGCTGTCTCCTGTGAATAATTACCCAGTTGTAACCATGGTAACAGAAAGTGTTTAATATTTTACAGAGTCTGTCAAGTAATCCTGATCGTCCTCTGACTTATTTTGGAATTTCATCTTAATATCATGTCCTGATTGAAAATTGTAATATGCTCTGTAAGAAAATATCGATATAAAAAAGAAAAGTAAAAGGTTTGAAGCTGAGAATGATTTTAATTGTTTATTGGTATTTATCCCACATGATTCTGAATCAGTGGTGAAAGACAAATGACCATTTAGATTCAAAGTCTGTGATCAATTTTCAAATATACTGTAAATTATGCCTCGCCAGAGTTTGGCACAATAACCACTGGATTACAATTCAGATGCTCCCCTTATTGAGCAACATTGTAAGCGAGCTGACTCTCATAGTTGAATGATAACTCATTGTATTTGGTAAGTAGTTTTCAGTAAACAATACATGTTGTATATATAACAAGTCTGTTATAGAAATATTGTAGACCTCTAATACTAAACTCCACAGGGGCGTTCATGGCTGAGTGGTTAAGGTCGTTGAATTCAAATCACATGCCTCTCACTGCTAGGTTCCAGTTGTTCAAGCATCATCAGATTATCTACATGTGGGAAAGCTATCCAGCTTGCTTACAGAACGTTGGTGGTTCTTAACTCGAGTGCCATTTTTTTGCCTGAAATAATGTACAGAGGTGCACCTGAGGTCTTCCTCCACCAGTAAAGCTTGAATGTTGTCATATGAAGTTACTATACTGTGCTACCAAAACAAAAAAAAACCTCCATTACTATAAGACAAGCATGGTGAACTTGGAAGCCGTATGGTTTTAGCAAATAAGGAGACTCACATTGATGAATAAGGTTTTATGAAACAATTACATGTATACATGTTTCATTGGAACCGTAAGTTTTTGTGCATCATCTTGAGTTTGAAGCCATTATAACCTCCCAGATTGCAAGTAAAGGAGAACCATCAATGAGGTATGGAGTGCTTTGAAATGGCAAACATGATTTTACCTGCATGTTGTCATTTCACAGATTTTATATGTTGACCTTAATTAATTAAGACCAGTTAAGCGCTTTTAAGACATGTGAGATGGGATTCTCATCTCGAGTGGCATCTTAACCCACAACCATGGGGTTAGGAATTCCAGGGGCATATCCAGGATTTCCTGTTGGGTAGGGTGAGGGAAATAAAGTGGACATGTACCTGCCCCTCCCTCTTAAAATCTGCGCCTGAGGACGGTGCTCTAATAGTAACCTATACACCAGTAAGCACACTTCCTCCATTAATGATCATATGTACTGCAACATGTTATTCAATGCATTTTGTAGATTAATGTGTCATGTACATAAATCGCCAAAATCATATTCTAAAAAGGGGGGGGGGGATAAAAAATGTCTATCCTACATCGTCAGTTAAATTCTTTCGTCAACAGTTTAGCCCTTTAAAAAATGGCTGCGCCCATGAAACGAGTTTTTGGCTAACTTGAATTTGCTTCAAATTATTGTTTAATTCGTCCGTTTTTATTCAATGATACTTCAAAAGTAAACATTTAACCAAACTTGAAACATCTAATTATGATTCGAAGCGTGACACCTCGGTTCCTAAGCTGTGCGAGGTTGGCAAACTCGTTCGAACGTTTGTTGACTGTTTCTTGCAAATGTTTAACTACACCAAAGGGAGAAACTACCATGAACGTGTTTGACAGAAAAGCCAAAAGAATTCAGAGGGATAGAACTGCGCTTCTACCGGATTACAAAGTTTATGAATATATTAAGGAAGAAGTAAGTAGTACACGGAATTGGAAAAGAGTCAACTCGGCCCTCTACCAACTCGGCACGGGTCAACTCGGCACGGGTCAACTCGGCCCACTTTCCAAAAATATATAGGCCTATAACATTTTTACTTTGCTTAGCATGTTGTTAAGGTAAATGAATAATAAGAAATATCTTATTATTATTATGTAATTATACATTGTACCTCTGCCAAAATAAAGTATATTTAGAAAAAAAATATTTATTTGTCTTGCAGATTCGATAAAATTAATATAGACACAGACACGATTATCGAACCTGGGAAGATAAAATATGAACAGATTGATAAAATGACTTCATATTTTTTCTTCCCACGTCCGATACTTGTGCCTGTGAATATAGATATAATTTAAATAAAAATGTGTTTCCTTTGATGCATTTTGTTTGTACAGTAATTTTCAAAAACATGAAACAAAAACATGTTTACTTTATAGCATAAGCTTCTAATTAATTGCAGGTGGTCACTTATCAAATTTGAATGAATGAGTCAATCATAATTATCACCTAATTAATCGGTATCCTTAACATACACATTGATTGATAATAATAGCCCGTGACAATAGGAGTCCTTTGATGTCTTTTACCCATTTTTAAAAGTGGGCCGAGTTGACCCGTGCCGAGTTGGAATAGGGCCGAGCTGACTCGGGGGCCGAGTATGTTTTAGGGCCGAGCTGACCCGGATTCCACGGAATTGACCAGTGTTGACTGCAAAGTTTATTTATTTTAGTTTGGTTGTTAATTCCTGGAACCAACCAATAGGCAATACTAAGCAATGAATGTAAACTTTTTTGCTCAAGGAAGCAAAGGCTTGCCTCTGACGGGGCTTGAACCCACCCGGCCAGCTAGATCCTTATATCATTTATTAATATGAAATTAGGCAAAGCCTATGAACGGGGAAGTTGGTTAAAAAAAATAGTTAATTTTTCCGTTTTAAAGGTGTCATTCTGTATTATATGCACCGCTTCCGTTTTCACTCGGATTATTCTCTATGATTATTATTTATCCGAAAAGATGCAATTGTCCATTATCGGAATATCCCGCCCATTTTCATTGAATTACATTGAAAATGGCGCCGCCCCACTTGAACTGACACTGAAAATTTCATTGATAGATAATAAATTCTATGTATTCTTAAGTTGTTTTTTATTTGATTTTCTTTTAAATATATACACATGTAGTCTATAGCCTTGCAAGCCAAAGCCCAGCCTTTGACTTCCCCGTATGATATGATAAAAAATCCAGGCTCTTCATAAAAATCTGGTGCATTGAAAAGCTGAAAAACAATTTGTAAATATGTCAAAACCTTTCGATTATTTTTACACCTTTCATCTCGAGATTATTTTAGACCTTTTCTGGCTGCTATGACGAGTGTGTTTCATATTCAATACATTAATAATTTTCCTCTAGGTTTCCTTGCCTAAAGGATAAGAAGACCAATTATTTCAAAATAATTTTAATGCTAATTAATCAACTTTAAATAAATAAATATTAAACAAACAATATATACACAATATTGTTTATGAATACCTCCTGTGACACTATAATCTTGATGCCTACCTAAAATGGTGAAAAGCTTTGTTTATGTGAATGATTGACAAGTCCATTTTGCCTGCTGCACAGTAAATGGGCCAATTGTGTTAGCATCTAAGTCAAAAAATAAAGTTAAACATACAAGACAATATTTGCTCTTTTTAAGTACCTTAGGGTGTCTATGACAATATTTTTGGAAAGAAAGGATAACTTTTTGGATACCATTTTCAAAATATTACATCTCTTGCGGACTGTGTGGGTAGGGGACGGATGTTACAAAGATATACTGAAAGTCTGAATATCTTACAGTTTATAATAAAAATTGTATTATTCCTCTTTATTTTATACAAATATTATGTGTTCTGATTAATGTTACAAAAAAAATCCAGAAAATTCATCTTAGATATAAAAATATTTGCTTTCAAATTTTCAGTATTTTTCACACAAAATGAAATTTTCAAACATGTTAGAAACAGAGAGAAATAAAACAAGGATAGGTACACCAAATCATACTTAAATCAAATATGCAAACTCATTTCTTATAAAACAGTAGAAATTATAGGACTTTCTTTTGTATATTTCTTGTCAGATAACCCAAAAATGAATTGGTATCAGGGGGACGGATGTTACATTTTTGGGGGGAACGGATGTTACGCTAGATGTTTAAAGCTCATAGTTCATACTTTTTTTTTGGTTTTATTTTAAAGTAATATAATTTATAAGAGTATATGCTTTGTACAGTACAATAAATGTAAAATAATTGAACAAATTATGAGAAAAGTGTAGAAATATACCAGACAATTATGGAGTTTCTTACGATTTGCGTTTCACAATGAAAAGTTGCATTGACTTAGTTTTCTTCCATTTAACTTACATTTGAATGAACATTGAAATGTTTGGAATAAAATAAAAACATTGCTAATTAAACAAAAGAATCTTTGTTTCCAGATAATGCATAAACGTTAAAAAGAAAATGTCATACCAACGGTACCTTTGTATACATGAAATTATTTACAAAACTCTTTTAAATTAGTTAAATAATAAAATTTATATTTGTAAAAGATATGATACAGTGTGAAGTAAATAAGTTTTCAGATTGAAACATATGCAAGCTTGAATTTCTCATTACTAAGTACATAAATTATACACAATTAAAAATTTTCATTAAAAATTATAAGATTTTAAATTGCTGCAATTAAGTTCTATCGATTTGATGAAATTTTAAGTAAATTAATGTGGAATGTTAGCAGCATTATCCAAAGATTTCATTATGATTCAGAATCATAATCTCATTATTTCTAACTTTTAATAATTCTCTGTGTAAATATGTCAGTGTACATGAACTGCTTTAACTTAATGAATTAATTTGTCATTCAAAAAAAATTCATAGGTGCAAAATAATTTGGCGAAGGGTTTTTTTTACAGAATAATTTTCACAATTATTCCAACTTTTTCATTACAAGAATCCTTACCTTATCCTTTACTTACAAGTTTCTTTCACTTTATTAACAATAATTAAATGGGTCAAATTGTATGAAAAAAATGTGCTTGAGTTTTTTTGGGGGAAAAAAAAAATCTAAAAAATTTTAATCAGGGTGTTGAATTATATTTTTTTATTTGTTTAAAATTTTCAGTGACTACATATTTAGCCTATAAAAATTTTGAAGTTCAATAAATCCTTTGACTTAAATGATCTTCAACTTCAATATTTAATGACAGACATTCTTGAAACAGATATGGTAGTCCCTCCCACTGTTTTAAGCATAATATATATCACCCTTAATTGGCAACCCCTACTGTTTTGTAATATATCACTCTTCCCAATATACACAGCTCCCAATATACAGCTCGTTAACTTTCAATAAAGTGCAAGCCCCTTCTGTGTGTTAGGATCCATATCCCACTGTTTTATAAGGGGCTGGGATGAGTGTCGGACAAAAGCCCGCCACGGACGAAAGCCCCCCCTTGTAAAAAGTGGGGGCTTTTGTCCGTATTCCGGCTGGGATACATGCTTTGTTAACTATTTAAGGCTAAAGAATTTATGTTTTAACAATTGACCAATTTTAATCACAAAGATACTTTCAACATCTCTATCTTTGGCACCTCTTTCTATATAATTATCCTGTTAAGGATTTTGTGTTTGTTTCTTCTAGTTTTTTTTTTTAAATAGTATTTTATTTGTTGTGTGAAACATTCCTATACAGTTGCAAAGCTTACTACTTCTCTATGATGCATCATAAGAACAAGATAAGTTTAGTATTACTGTAAAAAGAATTTTTAGTTCAATTCTGTAACATCCGTCCCCTTCTGTACCCTTAGTTTGTAAACACAGAATAACAAAAGATTATATTTGTTATAAATTCATATAAGCTTAAATATTATCTTAATAAGCTCATAGGTCCACTTAATGTTAAGAAATAAAATATAAATTTTATTTTAAAGTAAATAATTTTGTTATCAGAGCAAAAAATACTGATTTTTTTTCAAAATTAAGGAATTTTGTGTTTACAAATAATATTTTTTATTATAAATACATCATTTCAGTGCTTTATTTCTGTTATTTCTTCATTTTTCATTGTTGCTTTGGTGTTTTAGTGTAAAATTCCCTTTCCAGTTACAGTTTATGTGAGATTTAATAAGCATCTTATATAGGGGGACGGATGTTACGGGGACAGATGTTACAGACAACTTTTACATTATTGTATTTTTTTTCTCATTAACATAGAAATTGGAATTTTTTATAACATTTTTATTGTAAGGCTATCATTAAGCACCAGAAACATTGTTTTTTATGAGTATTGTTTTATAATTGGATATTTTATGAGAGGGGGACGGATGTTACAGTTTTTTCATCACAAAATTTTTTTTACCACTAAAATACCTATTTTGGTAAAAATGTTTGAAAATTTGAATTGAAAACATTTAATATATGTTTTTAATTCATATTTCATTAGATTGAGACAATAAAGTACTATTTTATTTGTAATTGCTTAAAGGTATACTTGTTTGCTTAACAACTGAATTTTGAAAAAACTGATGCATTACAAAAGTCTGATTTTACTAAAATCATCTTAACGCTAAAAACCAGGATGATGTATACCAAGTATTATATATCACTGGAAAGGTTATTAAATTTTCTATGTGCAAAAAAAATTTAAGTGATAAATTAAAACAGATAATAGTGGTGTTAATTCTAAAAACACCAAAAAAACAGATGCTAACACATTACATGTAAAATTGGACATTTTTAGGGTATAAAAATGTCTGTATCTTTATTTTGGGTAATGCTATCACAAAAAAATTTGGGGCACATTTTGCTTTATAGTAAGTCCTATATAAAAACACAAAAAATGTTAGAAAATGCAATATATTTTTTGAAAAAGCCTGCATTACATGTATTTTTGAAAAATTGGCCCATTTACTGTGCAGCAGGCAATTTACAATATTTAACAGCATTAAGGGTTAATTCAAACCATGTCAGTGTGGGGCGTCAGTGGCCGAGTGGTTAAGGTCATTGACTTCAAACCACTTGCCCCTCACCACTGTGGGTTGGAATCCCAAAAGGGACTATGAATTCCTTCATGTGAGGAAGGTATCCAGCTAGCTTACAGAACATCCGTGGTTCTACTCGGGTGGCCGTTTGTGCCTGAAATAATGCACGAAAGGGCACTTGAGGTCTTCCTCCACCAGTAAAGCTGGAATGTCGCAATATGACCAATACTGTGTCGGTGTGACGTAAAACCCAAACAAAGGAAAGGGAGCTATGTCAGTGTAAAATTCTACCAACCTTTTGATGGATTGTCATCATTTCTATTTTCAGTTTGGTTACAGATTGGCTGATAGAGTTTTAGACGTCAAAAGGTTTGTGTTATTCATTTATTTATATCATTAATTGGTAAAGCAGTGGCTTTAAAGACCTCTGTAAATTTTAATGTAAATTCATTTTTGACCTGTATGTTTTGAAATGATTAAAGTACTAGAGATATTTATTTCTAAGGGTTACTAATTTATTCATGATTGTAAAAGGAAATTCACAATATTGATACATGTTTTGTAAAAGAGAGAAGTTTGTTCGCTACTATTTTTGAGCTGGTATAATGAACCAATATTAAATTGAAAATGTGATTTGACAAATATCATGGTTGAACTTAAGTTTTGTGTAAGTTCTTGGTCGAGATCTGATATGATTTTCCTAAGATCTGTTTATTTTGTATTGGGTCAGTAGCCGAACCCTGTAATGGTTATTCCATGCTGACCACATTCTTCATCATTATTAAGCAATGACAAACTATATTTATGACTAGTATTTCTTGAACATTAAAATTTAATAACAAAAACAAAACTGAGTCAAGAAAATTAAAATTACTATTCTCTCACTCTTAAGTATGATGAATGTATTAACAATGTATTTTATGACCTGTATTAAGTAAATTCAGTAACAATAATTATTAAAAAAATCCAGGATTCTGGAAGCCATTTTGAATATTTATCTTGCCCATATATTTTCTGTAAGCCTAAAATATATGTAATATTCTTTGTACATGTATACTTTTATTAATCATTTAAGTTGGTTGATGCGATTCTGAATAACAAGTGTGAATATAATCAGACTCTTAGAGAAAAAAGACAAGTGTGTTCTAGTCAGCTTTATTATCTGGCAGGAAATCTCCCAGAATATAATGTTCTACATGTAAAATATGGTCAGTGGAAATTTACAGAAAAGAATGTTAAGGTTAAAGGTCATTTCAATGTAAATGAACTAAACATTGTTACAATGTCACCATGTAAAATCTGAGCCATGGTTGTTGTGATATGGAGATAATTATATACATGTACATGTACTTATTAATGTAATTATTATCACTTTATGCTTTCAGAGAGTTTGACATATTAGTAGATCTTGGTTGTGGTAGAGGCTATGTTTCAAAACACTTACTGAAAGATACAGTGAAAACTATATATCAGTGTGAACTGTCAGAAAAAATGCTGGTATGGCTGTCTAGGATTTCTTTTAGTTTTAACATAGTTATTGTTTGATGGTCATGAAAGCTTAATACAGCAGCTAAGAGTTTGTTTCCTTGAACTAGTCAAAACCTTAGTATGTTGGGAGTTGAACCATGGTCATGACTATAAAAAGGCTATTCTGTTGGCTATGATCCATGGGTTGTAAGGCAGACACCTCAGCCGCTAAGCTGACACTCTCAAAATTAATATACTGTTTGATATAGATCTGGACCAGTGATTTTGGATAATTAACTCCATTGTCCAGAAATAATTATTTTAATTGTAAAAAATGACCCTGAAATGAAAAAAGCATTTGAATGCTTTTGACTCAAATATGACAGCCTCCGTGGTCGAGGGGTTAGAGTCGATGACTTCTAATCCAGTTACCTCTCTGGCATGGGTTCGATCCCCGGGAGATGCTTTGGTAGTTTAGCGCGGAGGAAGGTAGTCTAGTACTGGTGTAACTCTCCAGGAACGATGGTTAGGAAACTACCCGCCTATATGACTGAAATACTGTTGAAAAAGGCGTAAAAATGAAACAAACAAACAAAAGACTCAAATATGGCTAAAAATTGTACAAAACACACACACTATTTTGATTTTATTCTGGCTGTATTTATTTATAGCTTTTGCATATCTATCTCTTTTGTGTGCCTTTATTAATCAACTAGTATGTATGAAATCCAACTGATTAATAATTAGTTGATACATGTATACCAAGGTAACTGTGATTCATTTGAAATACTGCGATTCTTTTTGACATACAATAATAAAAATTTAACACTAAAAGGAGTTCTTGCTCATTACTGTGTGTCATTAATGTTGCAGCTTATTTTAATGTAAGCATGCCATATTTGTAAACCCCTCTGCAACATTTGTAATCATCATATGATTAACTCTTTGCCAGCGTCTTTGAATTCCTTCATGTGAGAAGTCTATCCAGCGAGCTTACAGAATGTTGGTGGTTCTAAATCTCAGGTGCCCGTTTTTTGGTCTTCCTTCACCAGCAAAGCTGGAAATGTGCCAATATGAATTTTCTGTGTTAGTGTGATGTAAATCCCAAACAAACAAACATATGATTATTTGATTTCATCATAACAGCTTCAGAGTGAGGTATCACAGGAGGTTCCTACACATAGAATTGTGATGGATGAAGAATTTCTGCCATTTAAAGATGAATCTCTAGATATTGTTGTTAGTAGTTTAAGGTAAAATAGTTCTTTTTTAGCTCACCTGACACATGTGAGCTTTTGTGATTGCTTTTCTTGGTGTATGACGTTTATATATTTATACACGGCTGCTATCAATTTATGAAGAAATCTCAATTTTTTATTCTAAAAAGAAAGTTTGCTATATTCCTTTTAAAGATTCTTGTTAGGTTATATGACTTTATCACATAAACCGCGCTGCAGGAGTGTAAAAAAGCCAATTAATAAAAACAATATTACACTAGTGTAATAACACTTTGACGTGATATATATATAAAATTAGCATTAAAGGACTATATGCGTGTCAATGGAAGTTGACTCTTTTCAATAGTTCATCGTTCTTATTTTATATATGTGATAAATAGAACATTATATTTGTGTAGATTCAATACTAAATTTTTGAACTCGTTGAATAAAACAATATTATGCTCGCCAGAGGCTGGCATATTATGATTTTATTAATCTTTTTCAATAAATTTAGTATTTAACCTACACTCATTCAATATCTTCTATGTGCGGGTCATGTAAAAGGCCATATAACCTGTCAGTAATCTTTATAACTAATAATGTAACTTAAATTTGACAGTACATGTATATATATTAAATAAAGGGGTATTTTGATTTTTTATTCATTTTAAAGGAAAATTTCAAAATATATACAGACTAATAGTGCAAGCACAAATGTGCCAGCTGATCATGGTCGGCACTGGTCACATTGGTAGAATCACTTGTTGCTTAGTAAGCTGACCTGATATATCTGTGAACAGATTCATTACCACAGCTTCCAGAAGGATGTAGTTAGAAATAAGAACCCTTATCCACTCCAACAAATAGACCCCTTCAAAGACTGTTTAATTTCAGTAGTTTAGTGGTATTTTCCTAAATTTGAAAAAAAAACACTCTCTTGAAAGTAAAATTTTTTATAAAGAGTTCTTGCAGAGAAGAAATTGGTTACTTCTGGTCAATTATCCAGGAAATCCGGTAATGTGTAACAACTGCCAAGAAATTACAACAGAAAAAATGTTCAAACCAAAATTTATTGACCTGACAAAAAATAGAAGTTTGTGATGTCAAAATAAAGAATTTTTCATTTAATTGAATGTAAAACTTGAACTAAATACTTTATATCATTTTTGTTTTACTTTCAGTTTACACTGGGTCAATGACTTACCAGGTTGCTTCAGACAGGTACATGTATATAAATTAATAGAATATAATAGATTGTCAACATTAGAGCTGTTTTAGATTTATAATATTTATTTGTTTTGGCAAAAAAAATCAAATGATCTGAATGCGGGTTTTAAAAATGCAAAAAATTGTCACTAAAATACAAAAGATTGCTCAGTTTTTTGGACATTTTATTAAATAAATAGATGTAGAATAGAAAAACTAAAAGTAGACATAGAAAAAGGTATGATACATGTAGTTAAAGATAACTATATGTGTATAACTGTGATATATTTTGGCATTATTTATGTTCAGATTTGATTTATATTGTACTCAGGACTGTAGCGCAAAAAGGTTATTACTAGTACATGAAAAACATATATAGAATCATGATTTCCTGATAGATAATTGTTACTTCTGTTTTATTTCAAATTGCCAAACCCCGCAATTATAATAATACTGTGCCTAGCCGACGGATGAAAATAAAATAAATACATTAAACATATTAGTGTTCATTATGACATGTCTTGCTTGGTTTTTAACATTTTTACATGCATATTGTGCAACATTTAACTAGAATGTTTCTTTATGTATTTAACTGCCAGAAATCTTAGGTATAGTATCTTTGCATTGATCTTCTATTGTGATATATTTATGTGTGTGGCAGCCAGTGGCTGAATAGTGATGTCTGCTGGCTGAATCACTTGGCTGTCACCTGGCTTCAAATTTGAATAATAGTACATTCATAAAAGCAAACCTTTATGCTTGTTTATTGAAAGATTATGGTTATACACAGGTGAAAAGTTATGCCCGATATGCTATTTTTAAATGCTATAGGCATGTATTATACCGAAAAATTAAGAAGTTAAACAGTAGATTTGTTATGCATATTTATAATGTCTAAAATAATATTTTACTTAATGTTATTTTGTTATAATTATAGGTACATAATGCATTGAAGAAGGATGGAGTGTTTCTAGGGTGTTTATTTGGTGGTGATACTTTATTTGAACTAAGAGTATCTTTACAACTTGCTGAGCAAGAAAAAGAAGGGGTAAGTAAACTTGTGGATAGCAGTGGTCTGATGGTAAGATATTGGCTTTGGGATCAGGAGGTTGGGAGATCAAGCCCTGTCAGTGGCACTAATGATTCCTTATGCATGAAATTAACTGAACATTACTTCACCAAGGCATACATGAATATCTGAGAGGACAGTATAATTCTTTGGAGCCAGAATGTAAGCAGTCGAAATGTAAGCTTCAATAAGTCCCAGAATGTAAGCAGTCAAAATGTAAGCTTCAATAAGTAGAGCAGATTTATATGTTTAATGTAGATTTAAGAGGAGAGGTAGATTAGAGGTTTAAGTGTAAGTCTCTCAGGATAAAAGCTCTTTATTAACATAAGTACATGGTCCAAAGTTAAAAAGAATTTTCTAAGATCTTAGGTATTTGATTGGTGAGAAACTGGCACAGAATGTACACTGACCAATGAAAATCCTGAGATTAAAGACAGAATTCAGAAAAAAGTTTAATAATCTTGAGGCTTGGTTAGAGCCAGGAAACATACCTTGTAATTGTGCATTTCAAAACATATTTTAAGCTTTCAACATATTTAAGTTATAATATTTAGAGGAATGTAGATTTGATTTATAACTTAATGTTTTTATATTTGCAGGGTTACTGCTCGGTCCCCCTTTTACTTCATAAAAACCCAGGAATTTTTTAAAATAGATTTTTTTCCATTAAACACTGGAAAGTACTTTGATATTGTTTTTTTTAATTTTTTGTTTTTTTTCCATGTAGGGTTCTTTTTTAAGTGTACCTTTACAACAAATTGCATGGAAACACTAAAAAGGATATTTGATTTTTTTAAAATTTAGCATTTGTTTTGTTTGTCAGAAGAAAGAAACAAAACATACTACATTATTTTTATCATAATTATTTATTGAGACCTTATAAAAACAAATATTAGATTCATTGACAAAACTGAAGGAATTGTGTCTAGTGATCCTCTCTCCAATGGAAGGTCACTGATGACAGTCTCTCCTGTCCTTGTTTGTTTGAAATTGTAATGACAGGTATAAAAGTCAAGCATAAATAAGTAATATTTCATATGTTGATGTGTTGTCAATATTTGCCATCCAATAGGTATATTTTCCCCCGACTATTATTTGTTATATGCTTTTCCTGAATCAAATTTCACTCTACAGAAATAAAACAGTAATTTTCATGAGTGCTCCCAAATCTTGAATATTGAATCCTTGGCTCAAAAAGCCCTTACGGTGAATCAGTGGGGATTTTGGATAAATAATTTTCTTTTTTTCCAGATATAGATGAAATTTTTTCAACCCACAATAAAGAGTTAATGTATGATCTGAAAGGTAAGGAATAAAATTACAATATTTACATTTTTTGCATGAACAAGACTAGCGGCGTTGATTGATTGTACTGAAATAGTAAAAAAGATACAAGTTTTGTCATGTCAGACTGAATTTTTAGCTCGACTATTCGAAGAATATGAGAGCTATTGTAGTCGCCCCGGTGTCGGCGTCAGCGTCCGCGTCGGCGTCTGCGTTGGTTAAAGTTTTTTGTAAAGTCAAATATCTCAATTATTACTTGAGATATTCAATTGAAACTTACAATACTTATTTATAGGAACAAGGTACATCAGATTCACAAGTTGGATAACTCTGCCTACAATATTGACAGAATTATGCCCCTTTTTAACTTAGAAATTTTGGTTAAAGTTTTTTGTAAAGTCAAATATCTCAATTATTGCTTGAGATATTCAATTGAAACTTACAATACTTATTTATAGTAACAAGGTACATCAGATTGACAAGTTGGATAACTCTGCCTACAATATTGACAGAATTATGCCCCTTTTTAACTTAGAAATTTTGGTTAAAGTTTTTTGTAAAGTCAAATATCTCAATTATTACTTGAGATATTCAATTGAAACTTACAATACTTATTTATAGTAACAAGGTACATCAGATTGACAAGTTGGATAACTCTGCCTACAATATTGACAGAATTATGCCCCTTTTTAACTTAGAAATTTTGGTTAAAGTTTTTTGTAAAGTCAAATATCTCAATTATTGCTTGGGATATTCAATTGAAATTTAAAATACTTATTTATAGTAACAAGGTACATCAGATTGACAAGTTAGATTACTCTGCCTACAATATTGACAGAATTATGCCCCTTTTTAACTGAGAAGTTTTGGTTAAAGTTTTTTGTAAAGTCAAATATCTCAATTATTGCTTGAGATATTCAATTGAAATTTAAAATGCTTTTTTATAGTAACAATGTACATCAGTTTGCAAAATTGCATAACTCTGCCTGCAATATTTGCAGAATTATTTGCCCCTTTGAAACTTAGAAATTTTGGTTAAAGGTTAAAGGTCTTCAGAGATATTTACTTGAAACTTTACACATGCACTTAGGGTCATAATTGTATGTCACTGACCAAGTTCCATAACTCCATCTTGCATTAAGGCTGATTCATATCCCCTTTTCTATTTAGTCTCTTGGTTAATGTTTACATGCAAGTTTTACATATCTCAATAACTATTAAAGATATTTATTTAAAACTTCACATATGCATTTAGGGTCATAATTGTAGGTCACTGACAAAGATCCATAATTCTATCTTGCATTTAGGCTGATTTTTCTCCCCTTTTTCAACTTAGAAATTCATGGTAAAGTTTTGCTTGTAAGCTGTTATCTCAATAACTACTGAAGGGTTTGTGCCATTTTTGGGACAATTTCATGCATTCATGATAATAAAGCAGTGATTTACTTGATAAAACATCTTAATAACAAGCCTTTGTACCTTTTCTGTCAAATTTATGTATTCATAGGTAATTAGTATTATTATACTCAATAAAACACCCTTGTGACATTACCTTCCGAATTATAAGTCAAGCCAATACTGTATAATTAGACTCTCTCTTAGGCCTATAACATGAATTTATAAAAGAAAATTAGCCCTTTTGTGAACTTAAAAAATTTAACATTATCAAGGCTCTTTTACTATCAAGCACTTAGAATAGTCGAGCGTGCTGTCCTTCCGACAGCTCTTGTTATATTTCTATTGACTCCTTTAAATGACCAGTGAAAATAGAAATTTAAGTGCAGTACTCCCTGCTGGTACCACATCACGGTAGATATTGTGGTAACTGTACATGTACTAATTTGCATACATATCACAATATAAATATAAACATTGTATATCTATAAACATGGAAAATTGACCTGTGTTGGTTTTTTTCATCATTGACTTTGATTTACATGTGTACTTAGAAGTAAAGGTGTACCATTATGTTTGAGATGGTAAGTATTTTTTTGTGGCCGAGTGGTTAAGGTCGCTGTCTTGAGATCACAGGTCCCTCACCGCTGTAGGTTCGATCCTCACTCGGGTCGAAATCTTTCATGTGAGGAAGCCATCCAGTTGGCTAACAGAAGTTCGGTGGTTCTACCCAGGTGTCCGCTCGTGCCTGAAATAATGCCAGGAGGGGCATCTGGGGTCTTCCTCCACCAATAACAGCTGGAAAAAAAATCAATGAAAAAATCTCCACGGGACGCTCTAGAATGGCCTGACTTTGAGTGTACAGTCACCCATATGGGTTTACTGGCCGTGACATTTAACGCATAAAAAAAACAGAATACTTTATAATGAATCTACAGAAATATATATCGACTTACTGGCAGTTGCTTGTTGCTGAGATATTACAGTGAGGCACCTGAGGTCTCCCTCCACTGGTGCCGTTACACGATCATCTTGTGACATTTACAGTGACGGTTTGACATAATTCATTATAAAAAGCTAGAAATAAAATAAAACTAAAGCTACATACATAAATTATCAACTTGTTGGTCTTATCTTTTTAAATTACTTATATCTTAATTATTTAGGGATGGCAGAAAATAATTGTGCATGGTCAAGAAAAAACTTTTTACGAAGATCCACAATAGAAAGAGCTGACGAAATATACAAAGGTATTTCTTTTTTCTAATGCAAATATTAAACAAAAGTCATAAAATTCAGAGGTAGGTGTTGAGAGGTGCTTTCAGTTAGGTACTTGGAGTAGATATACAAGGGTGTAATGTTACTTGATTAATAAAATGAAGACGGTTAAAAGTGCCTCAAAATGATAACGGAAATGCACCTTAGCTATCTCAAAATCCATTGCTTAAAAGCCCCCTTGGTATCTGTGTCAGACACTAACATACTGCGCTTCCAAGTGCACTCCTGTTGTTATATATCCGACCTGAAAGATCTTTTTCGAGTCTTGAAAAAGTCACATGGAGGGTAGGGAGGATGGGTTAAGACAATAAGTTTTTTTTTGTTCCAAAAGTCTACTACCACCTGACTTTATTAGGCTGGAGCATTGTCATGAAGCAGACAAATGCCCTTCAATCAAACATTTGTGTTGTTTCTTTTTATAGAATTTGTTTATTTTATTCAGCACAGTGTTCTTGTAGAACTTCTCAATAATAGATGTCCCTTCCTTTGAAGGTATTTGTACCACTTGACCAGAAGAATTAAAGAAAATTGTGTTTAAAACTTTTGTAGCGCTTTTCTGTTTTTGGCTATGACCGGACGTTTCTATTTTTTTACCTCTCCACTGCCTATTTTCTGATCTTCTTTGTGGCTCAAACGTATAGACTCAAGTCTCATCTCCTGTTAGCAAATTAGAAATCATCCTTTCGTCACAGTTTATGAACATTTTTAAAATAGAATTATTGAACCAAAATGTCCGATTTAAGTATGGAAACACATAAGTAACATTATTTTTTGAAGCACCCTCATAATTTAATAGGCTAAAATTACAGCCATATAAACTTTATATGTCGCAGTGGTTTAGGTTACCATCTTCAGATTGCTTGCCCCTCAACACTTTTGGCTGGAATTCCACCTAGGACTTTGGATTTTAATATGCCCAGCTAACCTTCGTAGTATTCTTTTATGGTGCTTGTTTGTCCGTTAGCCACATCAGTAACTGCTCAATTTCTTGATAATTATTCGGTGTGCTGTCTTAATACATGGTAAGGAGGCAAGTCATTACCGGTATAAGTAGATGACCCTTTGACATTTGTTTAAAATCCTTGTTAAGTCAGTTGTTTTTCTTTATTATTCATATTTGAGTCTGATCACATTTTCACATTTTACATCTTAAGGACAGCACATGCCTTGTGCCTATAATGCTCCTAGTTTCACAAGAGGAAGCTATTCAGCTAACTTATGTTAGGTAGGTGGTTCTACTCAGGTGCCCGTTGAGGTCTTTCAGCACCAATACAGCTGGACAGAAGCCGTATGACCTACATGTAGATAATATAAATGTCACTTTAAAACCATCCAAAAAAATGGTGGTGGTGTTGGTAGTTTTCACTCTGCATCAAGACAGTAAGCCAGATTGAATTTACCAGAGCACAGTTCGTTCCTTGGCAGGTTGTCAAGCAGTTGACCAGTACTAGTTGTAGCCTTCACCTTTGCAAGGAACTGATAACTTCTGTGCATGCCAGAGCAGAGGAACAGTGAATGTGTAAAAGATTTCATGATCAGTCACAATGAAAGTGACCTGTACTGTCTGGGAATCGAACCCTGGTCACCTGATTCACAGTCTAATGCTCTACCTATAGAGCTAACTGGATGGCAAGAAAAAGAATGTACTCTTTGTACTAATTTTATATGTTTGAAGTTGTTGTTTTTTTGTCTAGAAATGTATGGTAATGACAAAGGAGTTCCAGCCACATTTCAAGTAATTTATTTCATAGGATGGAGGCCCCATCCATCTCAGGTATTGTATACTTTAATAGTTTTTCATTTGTTGTTATTATAGTTAATTTACTGGTTAGATAAGGGAAGATCTGTGGTTCTACCTTAGCTCTAACAGGAATATGTACATATTTTCTTATTTTTAGTCTGCTTCCTTATAATAACTGTTGTTTGAAAAAGAAAACATCAGTATTTTTTATGTAGCATTGTGATATGTTTAGGTAACAGATAACTTATTTAAGCTCTATAAATGTTATCCGGAACTTAATAAAGCTTTTAGGTGAACTACCCGTCACAATAGATTAGCCAACTTCTTGCACTTATTTTCTAAGCTGTAAAAGTTTGTTTATACCTATGGATTAGCTGGGAAAAACCCAAATATTCATAATTTCGGAGTAAGTCTATTGTGAAGAAAGCTTGAAGTTTATTTGATCTACTCTCATCTTTTCCTCTTGAAACTAACCAGTACTGGTAACATATGATGAGGCATGGTCATGACCACAGTACGGTTTGACCCTACAAATCTGGGGTTTAAATTCAGACACTTAAACCACTTGGATACTACATCAGTCCTGGTATTTTTGTAAAGAGTAAATGCATAATTTATTTAGTGACAGCAATGGCATGTAAAAAGGGGGCCTTCATGGTTAAGGTCACTGACTTTAAGTCACTTGCCCCATACCCCTGTGGGTTTTGAATCCCTTCCGGGACTTTGGATTCTTTCTTGCACAGAAACTATCCTGCTAGCTAATGGATGATCAGTGGTACTACTCATATGTCCACTTGTGCCGGAAATAATACAAGAAAGATACCTGAGTCCTTGGGACTTCTCTAGCTGGAAAAGACCCAATATGAACTTGACAGTGTTGGTGTTACTTAAAATCTAATAAAACAAACATCCAATGATTTAAGAACAGGGATAGGTTTCTTTTAGTATAGAGACCGCAAGCTTTTTATATTACTGCAGATAATCTTTCAGCCCATGTATTGCCTGAAGTCACTTATTTGCTGAGTATATTTGCTAAGTACCATTTTATTATGGAGTTAATAAACAATTAAAGAAAGAATTGATATCTTTTCTATAATTATGACAGTTGTTTTTTAATCAAATATAATTTTGCTTTATGGAAAAAAAATGGTTATTGTAGAACAGGCAAAATATGTATCAATAATTTAGTTCTATTTACCTCCCTTTATTTGCAAAAATTGTTGAATTCAACCATTATCTATGTTATACAAGCTTTCTGTAGCTTATTGAATTGGTAATCCTTCATTTGAGCAAAAGTCTTATCATATTAGTTTATAAAAATTTCATGGTGTACAGGTACAGCCATTTATGAATGAATCGTGTGTTATATATGATGTCATTTCACCGTTATGAACCAATTTGTAAATTCAAATACTATTAGAAAAAAATGCTCAGTATAAAAAATTGTTTCGGTAGTTTCTTTCAAACATAGGATGTAAATCTGATATGCAATTGAAAGAATCAAAAACTGGCTTTCACCGAAGATGGTCAATATCAAACGCTTGATGTTTTGCAGAAACTCTATGGTAGAGCTATGTTACCACCAAAAACAGTTACCGTTGAGCCAGATATTCTGGTCTGTACTGTGGGCCAGTGTAAGGTGACTGGTAAAACAAATTCAATCACAATTATGCTGTTATAAAACTTATTGATACGATAACAATGGTCATTTACTGCTTAGATGCTGAACTGTTTTTTGCCTTTATGCTGAACTGTTTTAAAATATATGATGAAGTTTGCGATTATTTACAGCCAAAACCTGCACAGAGAGGCTCTGGTCAGATATCATTTAAAGATTTGGAGAACCTAGACCAAATTACACAAAAACTCAAAGATGAAGACTTGGACAAGTTAAAGTCAACTTCCTCGGATAGCGGTGAAAATTCTGACACTAAAGAGGATCCCAAAAAGTCTTGATGAAGATGTGTATTATAGATATTAATTTAAATAGTGAAGACAAAATATTTTTTGAGGTCTACATATTGTGAACCATTGTGTTTGAATGTGTGTTTATAGTAGATACAAACTTTGCGGTGATTATTTGAAGCCATCGTATGTACTTGTTATATATTTTTTGAGAGAAGAAAAGTTTTTGTTACTTTTTTCATGTATTGCCTTTACCGAATACTAGTAACTACAGTCAGTGTCCAATTAGTATGGACAGCTAGAGCTATCTTTTTGGTGGTTTCTGTTCTTTGGAATAATATTTTACACCACCTACGAAGTGTGTAAGTTTTTAAAAGTGACATTTTGTTTTTTGTTATTTTGGAATCATGTTTATTTTATTAAATCTATAAAATTTTAAGAATTTTTTCTCAATTTACAGTTATGGATCAAAGAATAGCCACTTATATGATGTCACAGTTACTAGTCACAGTGATGGTGGAAAAGATATTCACGAATTCGAAAACCTAGCTAAACGCCGTTTTCCGGTACTTTCTGTACAAAGCTGTGGGGAATTCACGTAATGGAGTGCAATAGCGAAGTCAATGTTTTCGGCCTTTTTTTTTTAAATTAAACTGAAATAAAACACTTATTTCTCCTTAAGAAAATAATTAAATATCATTGTATGAATAATTCCATAAAAAAATAAAGTAAATATACAAGTTTACGCAGAAAATAACCTTATTTACTATCGAAGATTCCACTACGTCTGTTTGAATTTTATTGATTTCATTATAAACAATTTATTTTTTTGAATAATTTGCAATAGATATTAAACGAATATTGATAGTTTTCAAAAAAATCAATTTATTTCACCGTAAACGGTTAAATAATGATAGAAAAATAGACATATCTTGTAACTGTGTTATGTACTTCATTTGGTGTGATTCCCCAGAGCTAAAACGGTAACGTACCGGAAAACGGTGTTTAGCTAGGTTTTCGAAAAGGTCAATTGTTTTTGAAGTTGTGCAGCATATATAGTTCCACTCAAAAATTTAAGGGCTAGAAACCTAAAAGTGTTATACTAAGTCATTTAGGCAATCTCAAAGTTATAGATTATTCACTTTTATTTATCCTCTACCGGGTTGAAATGATATGGTCCTTATGTCCGGACCTAAATCTTAAAATTAGTTTGTTAATTTGTCTTGAAATTGTACAAGAATACTAATATTAATAGGTAAATGAGACTAACAGATTGTCATTAAGATCTATCGATATGGGTATTTGAGACATGACACCTTATAACTAAATATTAAAAAAAAACACAATTTTAAAGAAACTGTTCCCTTTTGGAGCCATTATTTACAACTAAGCCTTTTGGAAAGCCTTTTGAAACATAATTTACAAATAAGCAGACGCCGCTTATCAATGAAACGGAAAAATGGTTAATCTTATAATCAGTCAGCAGTTAGAATGAACATACACCATAGCCACTCCTTCAAACAGTGTTACCATAAAGATTTCCCTTTGACAATATAGTAAGAGTGCCAAACTGTCTTTTTCTCTAGAATTTGTTCATCTGATCATGTTAAAATACAAATAAATAATATTGCAGAATAAAGAAATAAGGTACAAATATAGAACTCCATGTAAATTTTTATCAAAATTGACATGAATGTATACATTAGTGATGGTTTTGGATTCTTTCATGTGAGAAAGCTTTCAAACAATCTTACAGAAGGTCTGTGATTCTATTAAGGTGTCTGTTTGTGCCTGAAATAATGTGTGTCAATTTTCTCTTTAACTAATGCAGGGAGAGGCACCCGATAAGATTTTACCAAGAAAGTGTTAGATCCGCAGCACTAAGTTCAAAAGTAAAACTAACTGTTATTTATTTGTTGATAATAGAAACAAAAATTAGTTTACATTTTGGATTTGGTTTAATTTAGTAATATTTTTGTTAAAGATGCTACATATAACATCCCATTAACTGATATACAGCATAAAATCTTATGAGTTCTATGACAAACTTTATTACATTTTCTTGAACAAGTTTAATAAAAAAAATTTAGTATATGACAACAAATTTTTACATGACTAAATACATTGAAATTGAGTAATATAAATTTGTGTAGTGGCAGGGTTTGTTGAAATTAAACACTGGTTTTCTATTTATTCAACCCCTATAGCAAACAAAACATTCTAACACGACCCGCATTTTTCCCTATTGAATATAGAAGAACAGAAAGTGTGTGTTATTATGCAATAAAATCACTGTTGACGTTCTATACATGTATTTAGATATGTGACATAATCATAATACATGTGACATAACCAGTAAAAAATCTTATGTGCTGAAAATAAGTACGGAAACGAATCAGGCGAAATTTTGCTTTATATCAGCTACGGCAGCATTTATTTGTTGATGTTGTGTTAGAATTGAAATAATATATCCAAATCGGTGATTTTATCGCTGGATAACATCAATGTTTGTTGTTCGGATGCGCCTCATTATATCACTCAGGCTATACGCCCTCGTGATATAATTCCTCATATCCGAACTCCAAACAGTGATATAATTGAGCAATAAAATCACTGTTTGGGATATATTATTTCTGGAATAATACAACAAATAACATAGAGAGAATTACAACAGACAATTCATACAATTCACATTGACAAGAACTCTGGCAAGATACCAGTGAAATCACTGCAGTGAAAAAATAAATTAAAGAAAATTAAAATGCATTTTATTTCATGAATATTTCTCAAATTTTCATTTGTAAAATATAATAAACAGAAAACATAATAGTTATATAACATGGATATACTAAATGATAGAGATTTTGAAACATAACATATACAACTTCTTTAACAGGAAACTACATGTAGAAATATTTAACACTAAATAATGCACTGTAAACTTTCACCGCCTCTTTACCACAATTTCCAGTCTTTCTAGCATTGAATACAAATATAAATAACCTAGCTATTTCATAAAAAATAACTATTTAAAGGAACTCCACTGAGATCTAAAAGTTTAAAAAACATGTAACTTTAATTTCTCACACATATCAACTGGGACACTTAAAATGGAAAGATATGCAGAAGATATTGAAGAAATATACTTTGAATTAAATTTAATTTAATTCGGAATTCTTAGTCCAATTAGATTGAAAAAACATTTAAAAGGTTTGCAATATGGGGTCATTGTACTCTATAAAAATAGTTATCAAGGAAAAAGATTGTGTGTCTGATCTGAAATTTTGCACACAAGTTACTGGAATAGACTTGCATCTAATGTCACATTAATCTAAAAAAAAATCAAGTCCTGTCACATGGTAAAACCTCCCTGGGGTCCCTTTATGAACACTTACAGAAGCTGACTATTTATCTAACAAAAAAATGAACACAACTATCTAAATGAATACACAAAGCGTTAATATATATGTGGCAATTAGCGGTTTTTTCCTCTTCATTTGAAACAAACATAACTACACACATATTTAACTCCTTTTTAAGAGCAGCCTCAATCAGATAATGCAATGGTGAGTCTGAAAGTAGAAAAAAAAACACAAATATAAAATAATGTAAAAAAAACCTTCTGCATTTTTAATGGACTTTTCTGAACTTGCATTTTTTGGACTGTTCAGTATTAATTTTGGGAAATCAATATAAAAATTTATAGTTGAGTGTCAACCAACATTACAGAGCCTGGTATGATGTCTTGCTTTATACAAAGGTTATGGTTCCAGCTGGTTAATGGTTAATGCTGGTTACAACTGGCTAAGTCCCCCACGGTTTCATGTGTAAATAGATCCGTTTCGATTTTCATTTGTAAATGTTTATGAAATTTTTTACCGTTTAATCGAAATGACCATTCTGTCTTAGAAAAAATATTAATCATTGCCTGTCATCATGGATTTTATCAATTCATATCAGTTTATTCCAAAGTAAAAAATGGAAAATGATTGGTTACAACCCTCCTCACAGCATCACTGTGCAATAATCGCTTGTGACATAATACATTTTTGGTAAAGTTGAATTACCTTTGATGCTTTACTTTGAACTTGTTAAACAGGTAAATTACAAAATGTGAAATAGGGCCCTTAGGACCTCAAACTTTTCACAGTTAATTGGCAATAATAGTTGACACATGTTATACAAACATATGAACACCTGGTCAAATGAAGGTCAAGTGTTTAATTTACGATCTTTATTAAAATTTGAAAGAAAAAAGTAAAAAAAAAATATTTCAAAACTAAAAAATTTTCAGTTTTTTTCGAATATTCAATGTCTGAATATTTGGTAGTGTTTTGAATATTGGAATACAATTCTCAGCCCTACTATTGTCTAATAAATAATGAAATATTACCTCCATGTTTTTCATTGATGTTACTAGATGACAGGTGAGGCACCTTGCTTGCATCTTGTCTACATCGCGTTTGGAGCCATTGTCGGGATTAAAGACTCCCTGTAAAATGTAATTGTATTTGTAAATGTTATTCATTAATACATCATGTAATATGTGTGTTGTGTGACATGCATTATTTACAGTTTTAACAGAAGCTGATCCTGTAAGATACATAATAATGTAGACCTCCATTGTTATTGACTATTTTCATTTAGGAATTTCTGTTCTTGACTGCTTTTTCAAAATATTGGCCTCCTTTTACAGCTCTTTATCAAGCTACCTTATTTAATGGTTTCTTATTATTTGAACTAAGAACATGAAATTTATTTTGAATTTTAAAAAATATTTACATTACGTAAGCAGTCGTCATCTCCTGTAATATTCTCTAGCACACAGGCTTTGCAAGCTGTCCCTTCCCTGAAACAGTATGAATGACAGTCTCCACATGAGAGATGAATGTTTATTATTTTGATTTATAATGCTCCACATTGGTTACTGAAGAAAATATATCTTTATATACAATTTTTTATTTTGACTCAGAGTTTCATTCCCATAAGATTAACTAAAAATATTTATTTAGTTGTCATGTATTTTTCAAGAAGAATTATAGTGTTTAAAATCAGTTAGAATCATGGTCACCAATGGTTCAGCTTTACACATAATCAAAATTTGATGACACCTTGTGGCTGGCCCTGTGATCAAGAGTATAGGATCAAGATTAAAAACTAAAATTTCTCCATTGTACCTAAGTAGTGTTAATGCTTTGCTTACTTACCAACTATAAAGAGTGAAACAGTCCTTGCAGAATCTGTGTCCAGTAAGTGTTTGAACAGGATCCTTCGGGAATCTTCTGCACATTTCACACAAATGTGACTCAAGTTCTGTCATAGGTAGTAGAATCTGGACATTGACACCCTGCTGTGCTTTTCTTATTACAACAGACATTCTACAAATAAAAAAGATTCATGAAGCCATAAGTGCATAATTTTGTACTAAAAATTCTTGAAGTTCATTAGAATCAAGTGACATAGATGTTTATAGATAAGCAATAATTATGATAGAATAACATAAGCTAGAAAGTATTGTAACTTATAATTATTTTAGAATGCAAAGATAGTGAAAGGAAAAATACCACAGTATGAATTTGCTCTTGGAGTTTTTATGAAAAATGTTAGTTTCGAAAAAGTTTCTATTTTTGTGATTAATTTGCAACAATAATTTCTGCATGGTCCCTCACACACTTAATGCATTTGTAAAGGTGGGTATTTGGGCTTGTCTCACAGCCCATCCTTCTGGTTTTGTTAGTCAGGGGGTGGCATAATTGAAAAAAGTATTGGAGGTGTCACCTTGATAAAATGCAAAAGATGGAGCATATTTGTATAATATTATTTCAAAAATGAGAATTAAATTACTAAAAAATATGTATATCATTTTTTTATTGTTTTTATGCAGTTCCAGGACATATTTTTTTGCAGCGTCCATTAATTTTGTTGTCCCACTTTAGTATCTGGTCCCTAACTTTGTCAGTTAAGATTTTATCTAAAAGTTTATTTTACTGCATAGCTTTGGAAACTTTATAGCCTTCAAGTTTCCTCATACTTAAACCAAAATCTTGTTTTTAAATACCTTACATATTTTTAACCACGTCCAATGATATTGACACGTATCCGGAATTTATTTACGCATGCGTTTTATTAGCGTTGTCGACTAATTGTCTTTTGGTAGTTTAACTTTCGAGTTCTTTAAATCAATAGAACTCTGATACCTGATAATAAAGTTGAAATATATCAAGATAGAAATATGGCATAATGCCTTTAGTTTAAACAATATTTATTGGTAATCCTTACTTTAGAAAGCTTTAAGGTATTACCACCCTAATGGGCACTATAAGGAACTAAAAATTTGACATCATACCTTAAAGTACACCTGTATGCAAAATTTAAACAAAGTTTTCCATACAGAAAACAAGTTATGGCCGTTTTTATGCCACCGCAGCATCTGCGATGCGGTGGCATATTGCGATTCACCAGTGTGTGTGTGTGTTTGTGTGTGTGTGTGTGTGTTATATAGGTTATATAGTGAACATCAAAAAATCTTCTTGTGAAAAACCACTAGTCCAATTTCAACCAAACTTGGCAGGATTGATCCTTGGGTGAAGGGCTTCCAAAGTTGTTAAAGAATTTCATTCCATGCAGAAATCTGGTTGCCATGGCAACCAAAAGGGATTATAAGAATAAATTTAAAAAATCTTCTTGTAAAGACCCAAAAGGCCTAGAGCTTAGATATTTTGCATAAAGCATTGTCTGGTAGACCTCTACCAAGATTGTTCAAATTATAGCCCTGGGGTCAAAATCGGTCCCGCCCCGGGGGTCATTGATTTTCACTATATGTACATATAGTAAAAACTTAAAATACCTTCATGTAAATACCCAAAAGGCCTAGAGCTTAGATATTTTGCATAAGGCATTGTCTGGTAGACCCTTATTAAGATTGTTCAAATGATAGCCCTGGGGTCAAAATCGGCCCCGCCCGGGGGTCATTGGTTTTCCATATATGTATATAGTAAAAACTTATAGTAAAAACTTTAAAAAAAAAATTTCTAGCAATTGACAAATGCTAGAGGTTAGATATTTTGCGTGAAACATTGTATAGTGATATCAGCTGACCTAGATTTTGACAAAGTGTCTAACTGTGTTGTCCTTTGATGTAGTCATGAAATTTAGGCTGTGTGAAATATGACCTTCACCACCAAATTCACCAGACTCAAGTGCATTGATATATGATATATTCCTACTCTGATCTTTTATTGGATTAACAATAGATTTAACCACTAATCTGATAATAAGAATTAGATAGGTCAGGGATCTTTGCATAATGACAATCTTCAATTGCATTGAAACAAAACAAAATCTGTTCCTACACTACTATTTAGTGTTGTATTAATGCGGTGGCATAGCATTTTTCTCAAATGCAATCTTGTTCTGAACTCAAGCTAGGATGTTATGAGGACCCTTTTTTAGAAATGAGGAACCTTTATATAATCTGCAATAACATTCTAATGAAAGATGTTTTCCCATTAATTTTTGGTAAGAAACAAATAGTACCCTTCAGCTTACAATCCACATAAGCAAAATTATGGTTTCTACTTAAAATTTATGAAATCTGTATAAAAATGTTACCCTACCCAACCCATTTTTACCAGGTGTCTGACCATTTTCCTACTTAAGGAGCCTAATTTAAAAAATCTTTAAAATTTACCTAAATGAGTGCCTGTTTTTAAAGTTTCCCTAAATTTTAAAGAAGTATATTGGTTGATCTTGTAAAATATGAAACACTTTTACCGTCTAGTTTTGATTTAATTACACTTTGAAAATATCAGGTACCATATTTATCACTAGATTCAGCTTAATTTAGCCAATAAATACCAATTAAAAGATCAAAATTAAACGCTTTTTTCTTTCCAAATGGGACAGTCATGAGAGATACATAAATAATGTTAAAAGAAAAAAAAGAAAAAAAAAAAAAGTTTACCCTTCTGGGGAATGAACCCTCATTTTCAATGTAGTTAACAGTAGGTCTAGCCTGTTTGAATACACTTCAAAGCGGAGGTAATGCATTAGGATGGTAATACCTTAAATGCTTTTTTGAAAACTCTTTCAGTAATCAGTATTTCACAAATTTTATATAAACAGTAACAAAATATACAATATCAGTAAAAACTAAACTGAAAATATCATTAGCTCGACTATTCGCAGAATAATCGAGCTAATGCAGTCACCCATTTGTCGGCGTCGGCGTCGGCGTCGGCGTCCCTGTGGTTAAGTTTTTGTATGTAAGCTGGTATCTCCATAACTACTGAAGGGAATGGATTGAAACTTCACACACTTGTTCTCTGTGATTATCTAAGATGATTGGCACAAGTCCCATAACTCTGATTTGCTTTTTTTCATAATTATGCCCCTTTTTCGACTTAGAAATTCTTGGTTAAGTTTTTGTATGTAAGCTGGTATCTCCATAACTACTGAAGGGAATGGATTGAAACTTCACACACTTGTTCTCTGTGATTATCTAAGATGATTGGTACAAGTCCCATAACTCTGATTTGCTTTTTTACATAATTATGCCCTTTTTCGACTTAAGAAATTCTTGGTTAAGTTTTTGTATGTAAGCTGGTATCTCCATAACTACTGAAGGGAATGGATTGAAACTTCACACACTTGTTCTCTGTGATTATCTAAGATGATTGGCACAAGTCCCATAACTCTGATTTGCTTTTTTTCATAATTATGCCCCTTTTTCGACTTAGAAATTCTTGGTTAAGTTTTTGTATGTAAGCTGGTATCTCCAAAACTACTGAAGGGAATGGATTGAAACTTTACACACTTGTTCTCTGTGATTATCTAAGATGATTGGCACAGTCCCATAACTCTGATTTGCTTTTTTTCATAATTATGCCCCTTTTTCGACTTAGAAATTCTTGGTTAAGTTTTTGTATGTAAGCTGGTATCTCCATAACTACTGAAGGGAATGGATTGAAACTTCACACACTTGTTCTCTGTGATTATATAAGTTGATTGGCACAAGTCCCATAACTCTGATTTGCTTTTTTTCATAATTATGCCCCTTTTTCGACTTAGAAATTCTTGGTTAAGTTTTTGTATGTAAGCTGGTATCTCCATAACTACTGAAGGGAATGGATTGAAACTTCACACACTTGTTCTCTGTGATTATATAAGATGATTGGCACAAGTCCCATAACTCTGATTTGCTTTTTTTCATAATTATGCCCCTTTTTCGACTTAGAAATTCTTGGTTAAGTTTTTGTATGTAAGCTGGTATCTCCATAACTACTGAAGGGAATGGATTGAAACTTCACACACTTGTTCTCTGTGATTATCTTAGATGATTGGTACAAGTCCCATAACTCTGATTTGCTTCTTTGCATAATTATGCCCCTTTTTCGACTCATGAATTCTTGGTTAAGATTTTGCATGTAAGCTTGTATCTGCATAACTACTGAAGGGAATGTATTGAAACTTGAAGAGTTTGTACCTTTTCGGGAATTTTATGTATTCATATAGGTAAGCATTATTATACTCAATGAAACACCCTTGTGACAAATTTTCGAATAGTCGAGCGTTACTGTCCTCCGACAGTTCTTGTTTTGTCTTGTGCTTGCTTTCTTCATAATGCATACATACTACCTTAATAATAAGTATTCATGAACTAAAATCAAGATTCATAACTGTTTTATTTGAGGTATAAGCACGAATAAAAATTTAATTTTAGAAATTAGATGGATACATTGCTTAGTTTAGTAGTAAAAAGTTAAAAAAGGAAAAATAAGAAAGAAAGAAAGTTAGAAAGCTACTTTTCTACTATTGATTCCAGAGGACCTTTTTCTTAATTTTTAAACAAAATAATTTTACATGTCAAATAATTTTAATTTAGTTTAAACATATTTTATTCCTTTCAATTTTGATGTAAAGTTGCAATTATATAGAAAAAAAAGTATAAAATAAAACATTTAAAAAAAAAATACTAAGGAATTGACAACAAGTTCAAATAACATTAGTAATTTGGTCTGTCCATACGATTGTTTTGTTTTTGCGGGCATTTTCTTGAGTTTGAGGGAGAGATTTTCTTTTCTTTTCAAGTCAGAAATGAGTTTAAGCGAGGGATTTTCTTTTCTTTACAAATCAGAAATGAGTTTTAGGAATGGATTTTCTTTTCTTTACTAGTCTTTAAGAGTTTAAGAGATGGATTTTCTTTTCTTTACAAATCAGAAATGAGTATCTGGAAGGGATTTTCTTTTCTTTACTAATCAAAATGAGTTTCAGGGATTTAGGGAGGGATTTTCTCTCCCTTTACAAATCAGAAATGAGTTTAAGGGAGGGATTTTCTTTTCTTTGACAAATCAAAAATGAGTTTTAGGGAAGGATTTTTTTCTTTACAAATCAAAAATGAGTTTTAGGGAGGGATTTTCTTTTTTTGTCTAAAATGAATTTTAGGGAGGAAAATTATTTTCTTTACAAATCAGAAATGAGTTTGAGGGAGGAATTTTCTTTTCTTTACAAATCAAAAATGAGTTCTAGGGAGGACTTTTCTTTTCTTTACAAATCAAGAATTAGTTAGGGAGGGATTTTCTTATTTGTCTGAAATAAGTTTTAGGGAGGAATATATTCTTTTCTGTACTAATCAGAAATGAGTTTGATGGAGGAATTTCCTTTTCTTACCTAGTTAGAAATGAGTTTAAGTGTGTGATTTTCTTTTCTTTACAAGTCAGAAATGAGTTTTAGGGAGGTTTTTTTTTTTTAATCAGAAATGAGTGTTTGGAGAAATTTTCTTTTCTTTACATATCAGAAATGAGTTTTCGGAGGAGTTTTCTTTTCTTTACAAGTCAGTAATGTGTTTTAGGGAGGGATTTCTTTTTCTTCAGTCAGAATTAATTTTTATGCTCCCAAAAAAATTTAGTCGTCATATAGTCATCGGGTTGTCCGTCCGTCCATTCGTCCGTCCGTCCCATGATTCGTCAATCAGTCAGAGAGCTTTTGGAGAGCTTTTCAAGTCAGAAATGATTGTAAGCGCAGGATTTTCTTTTCTTTATAAGTCAGAAATGAGTTTAAGGAAGGGTTTTTCTTCTCTTTACAGCCATTATTGTCCATAAATTCTAGTCAAAATAATCCAATAATTAAGATACAGACAAATAAAAAAGGTACAACTTTGTACAAGATATGGAAAATTTTAAATAATAACTAGAATTATATATTTTTGTTGATGTATATTTTCAATTTTATATCTGTTAATATCCATGCGATTGTATGTACTTATTAAAAGGAACTGTTTTTTTCTCTTCCTAGTTAAAATTAATGCTTTGTATCAATCCAAATAAAATGCAGTGTTTATTAATTAAACAAAATGATAAATTGTCAACACTTACCATTTTTTTATGTAACTCTAGCTCCATTCCTGTAAAAGAAATATATTTATAAGCTCCTTTATTTTGGAGTAAGGCACACATTTATTAAAAAAAGACTAGGGTATGTTATTATGAAAACTGTAATGGTGGATTGACAATGCTTATTAATTAAGTACATTTGTAATTATACCCCAAAAAAAGAAGTTTGGGGGGGTATATAGGAGTCACCCGGTGGTCGGTTGGTCGGTCCAGACGTCTGTTGCATTTTCCTTGTCCGGAGCATAACGTGAAGACTAATGGTTGGAATTCAATATAACTACATATAATGGTCAAGCACATTGACAGGAAGTGCAGTGCACAAGAACCATAACTCTATCTTGACTAATTACAGAGTTATTGCCCTTTGTTAACTTTTCCTTGTCCAGTGCATAACTTGAAAACTACTGGTTGGAATTCAAAACAACTTCATAAAATTGTCAAACACAATAAGGGGAAGTGCAGTGCACAAGAACCATAACTCTATCTAAAGTAATTACAGAGTTATTGCCCTTTGTTACTTTTCCATTGCTTTCTTTTGTCCGGTGACCGCCTCCGTGGTCGAGGGGTTAGAGTCGATGACTTCTAATCCAGTTACCTCTCTGGCGTGGGTTCGATCCCCAGCAGATGCTTTGGTAGTTTAGCACGGAGGAAGGTAGTCTAGTACTGGTGTAACTCTCCAGGAACGATGGTTAGGAAACTACCCGCCTATATGACTGAAATACTGTTGGGAAAAGGCGTAAAATGAAGCAAACAAACAAACAAACAATTTTGTACGGACCATAACTTGAAGATCCATGGTTGGAATTCAATATAACTACATACAATGGTCAGGCACATTGAGAAGAAGTGCAGTGCACAAGAACCATAACTCTATCTGGACTAATTACAGAATTATTGCCCTTTGTTACTTTTCCTTGTCCAAGGCATAACTTGAAAACTACTGGTTGGAATTCAAAACAACTTCATACAATTGTCAAACACAATAAGGGGAAGTGCAGTGCACAAGAACTATAACTCTATCTAAAGTAATTACAGAGTTATTGCCCTTTGTTACTGTTCCATTCTTTTGTCCGGACCATAACTTGAAGACTAATGGTTGGAATCCAATATAACTACATACAATGGTCAAGCACATTGAGAGGAAGTGCAGTGCACAAGAACCATAACTCTATCTTTACTAATTACAGAGTTATTGCCCTTTGATACCTTTCCTTGTCCAAGGCATAACTTGAAAACTACTGGTTGGAATTCAAAACAACTTCATACAATTGTCAAACACAATAAGGGGAAGTGCAGTGCACAAGAACCATAACTCCATCTTGACTTATTGCAGAGTTACTGCCCTTGGTAACTTTTCCTTGTCCAGAGCATAACTTGAAGACTAATGGTTGGAATTCAAAACAACTTCATACAATGGTGAAGCACAATATGGGGAAGTGCAATGCACAAGAACTTTAACTCTGTCTTGACTAATTACAGTTATTGTTATTGCCCTTTGTTACTGTTCCATTGCTTTTTTGTCCAGAGCATAACTTGAAGACTAATGGTTGGAATTCAATATAACTTCATACAATGGTCAAGCACATTGAGAAGAAGTGCAGTGCACAAGAACCATAACTCCGTCTTGACTTATTACAGAGTTATTGCCCTTTGTTACTTTTCCTTGTCCAGAGCATAACTTGAAAACTACTGTTTGGAATTCAATACAACTTCATACAGTTGTCAAGGACATTAAAAGGAAGTGCAGTGCACAAGAGCCATATCTCCATTTTGACAAAATACAGAGTTACTGCCCTTTGATACTTTTCCTTGTCCAGAGCATAACTTAAAAGGTACTGGTTGGAATTCAAAACAACTTCATACAATGGTCAAGCACAATAAGAGGAAGTGCAGTGCACAAGAACTATAACTCCATCTTCAGTATTTATAGAGTTATTGCCCTTTGTTTCTTTTCTTTGTCTTTCTGGACATATTACAGAGTAATTCAATAAAACTTCATCAAAGGCCAACCACATTGAAAGGAAATGCAACATACAAGAACCACAACTATTCTTAATTGCCCACAACCATAACTCTATATTTCAATTCTTTTGCAAGGTATTCTGTTATTAGTAACATCCTCATTTCCGAAGCAGTCTTGTGGTTGTATTAATCACATTTAGTGATAGTTCTAGTTTAATACAATATTATGTTAAATAATGAACCATGTGAGAATACTTTGAATAATACAATACAATGTAGTATCACGATAATCTATATATATAATTATTTGTGTTTTAGAATGGTATCAAGTAGTCATATATGGGTTCGATCCCTGGGAGATGCTTTGGTAGTTTAGCGCGGAAGAAGGTAGTCTAGTACTGGTGTAACCTTCCAGGAACTATGGTTAGGAAACTACCCGCCTATATGACTGAAATAGTGTTGGGAAAAGGCGTAGAATGAAACAAACAAACAAACAAAGTAGTCATATTTAGAGACACAGATAGAGTAAACATGGACCGTACATGTTTTCAGGCATTTGTTTTTTCTACTATTGAAAACTGTCTTCTATACTAAAGTTACCCAAATGAAACCAATTGAAATGATACTAAATTCAGGGTTTTCTGGTATTTTTAGCTCACCTGAGCTAGCTGATACTAAATTCAGGGTTTTCTGGTATTTTAGCTCACCTGAGCTAGCTCAGGGTGAGCTTTTAGGATCGTTGAATTTCCGTCATCCGTCCACATTTGTTTGTTAACACTCTAGCGGTCACATTTTTGCCTCAATCATCACGATGCTTATCTAACTGATAGCTCGGATGAGTTCGAACATGGGTCATCTCGGATGAAAAACTAGGTCACTGGAGCTAAAAATAAAAAAAAACCTTGTTAACACTCTAGTGGTCACATTTTTGACACAATCATCATCAAACTTTGTCAGGATGATTGTCTAGTTGATAGCTCGAATGAGTTCGAACATGGGTCATCTCGGATGTAAAACTAGGTCACAGGAGATAACAAGAGGGCCATGATGGCCCTGAGGTGGCTCACCTGTATATAGCCCCCTCCCCCCCCCCACACCCATAAGAAGATGTTTCATGCTAAACATCTAAGCTCTAGCTCATTGGGCTTTTTAAAGTTTTTACTATACACATATAGTTAAAAACAATGACACCCCTGGGGCGGGGCCAGTTTTGTCCCCAGGGCTTTTATTTGAACAAACTTTGTAGACACTTACTAGAAGATGTTTCATGCTTAATATCTAAACTCTAGCTATTTGGGTTTTTTCAAAGAAGATTTTAAGTTTTTGCTATACACATATAAGGAAAATCAATGACCCCCGAGGCGGGGCCAATTTTGACCCCAGGGCTTGTATTTGAGCAAACTTTGTAGACACTTACTAGAAGATGTTTCATGCTTAACATCTAAACTCTAGCTATTTGGGTTTTTTTAAAGATTTTAAGTTTTTGCTATACACATATAAGGAAAATCAATGACCCCCGAGGCGGGGCCAATTTTGACCCCAGGTCTTTTATTTGAACAAACTTTGTGACACTCAGTAGAAGATGTTTCATGCTTAATATCTAAACTCTAGCTATTTGGGTTTTTTCAATGAAGATTTTTTAAAGTTTTTGCTATACACATATAAGGAAAATCAATGACCCCCAGGGTAGGGCCAATTTTGACCCCAGGGCTTTTATTTGAACAAACTTGGTAGACACCTATTAGAACATGTTTGATGCTAAATATCTTAGCTCTAGCTCTTTGAGTTCTTTAAAAGAAGATTTTTTAAGTTTTTACTATATGCATATAGGGAAAATCAATGACCCCCTGGGGCGGGGCCAATTTTGACCCCAGGGCTTTTATTTGAACAAAATTGGTAGACACTCATTAGAAGATGTTTCATGCTAAATATCTTAGCTCTAGCTCTTTGGGTTCTTTAAAAGAAGATTTTTTAAGTTTTTTCTATATGCATATAGGGAAAATCAATGACCCCCTGGGTGGGGCCAATTTTGAACCCCATGGCTTTCAGTTGAACAAACTTGGTAGACACTCACTAATGGATGTTTCATGCAAAATATCTAAGGTCTAGCTCTTAGGGTTTTTTAAAAGAAGATATCTAAAGTTTTTTCTTTCGGTTGGCATGGCAACCAGAGTTCTGCATGGAATTAAATTCTTTGAACAATTTTAAAAGGTGACCACCAAAGGAACATTCCTGTGAAGTTTGGATGAAATTGGCCTAGTGGTTTATGAGGAGATGTCATTTAAAGTAAAAGTTTACGGACGGACGACGGACGGACGCCGGACGAAAAGCGATCACAAAAGCTCACCCTGTCACTTTGTGACAGGTGAGCTAAAAATAGAAAAACCTTGTTAACACTCCACTGGTCACATTTTTGCCTCAATCATCAGGATGCTTATCTCATTGATAGCTCGGATGAGTTCGAACATGGGTCATCTCGGATGAAAAACTAGGTCACTGGAGCTAAAAATAAAAAACCTTGTTAACACTCTAGTGGTCACATTTTTGACACAATCATCATCTAACTTTGTCAGGATGCTTGTCTAGTTGATAGCTCGAATGAGTTCGAACATGGACCATCTCGGATGTAAAACTAGGTCACAGGAGCTAAAAAATAGAAAAACCTTGTTAACACTCCACTGGTCACATTTTTGACTCAATTGTCATCAAACTTGGTTAGGATGCTTGTCTAGGTTATTGCTCGGATGAGTTTGAACATGGGTCATCTCGGATGAAAACTAGGTCACAGGAGCTAAAAATAGAAAAATCTTGTCAACACTCTAGTGGCTACTATTTTGATCCAAATATCCTGTAAATTGGTCTGAAAGTTTGTTTTGATGATTACTAGGTCAAGTTCGAACATGGGTAATCTCGGATAAAAAACTAGGTCACCGGAGCAGCTGCTTAAAATAGTAAAATATTGTTAACACTCTAGTGGCTACTGTTTTGATCCAAGTATCCTGGAAATTGGTCTGAAAGTTTGTTTTAATGATTTCTAGGTCAAGTTCGCATATTGGTCACCTAGGTTTTAAACTAGGTCACACTGCTCAAATATGGATAATCCTTAAACACACTTTAGTGGTCACATTTTTGACTCACCAGTCATGAAACTTGGTCAGAATGGTTGTCTAGGTAATTGTTCGGATGAGTTCGATGTGTCAGGTGAGAGATCTAGGGCTTTCATGGCCCTCTTGTTAACTTAAACCCATTTGGAACCAAATATATACATCTAATTTTTTGAAAAATATACTATTTTTCGTCACAGCACCCATGAATGAATTACATGGGTTATTCCTAATCGAAGAGGAAGAACCATTTACAATGTGACCATACCACGTGACTTTTCGGGTACGGAGCACGCCGATTTTTCACCCGATTCAGGTTTGTTTTTTATTCATAAATTATTTATTACTCAAATGATTTTGATAAGATAAGGCGCAGAGTATCCGTTATTATATCAGCTTTCCACGATATATCGAAATTCTAAAAACCCCTGAATGGTTTTTGAGAACATTCGAGTACAGTTTTCTTCTCAGAGCCGGGGTCGAGGGGAACGGTACACACTCATTTGTCATAAAAAGCGATTTCTAGCAAGTCATATGTTTCATGTCACTATTTCATAGAAAAATACATGTTAAATCTGATATATATACTATGTCCAATGTATCGAGTGAATGCAGTGATGTTTTAGCATATTTTCATACAGTTATGCTGTAATGGTACGGAGCACACTGTTATTTCAAAAGATACGGTACACACACAATTTCTGTCTTTTAAATCATTCTAAAATAAGATATATGAAAATTTAATTTAAATTATAATGTGAGTGATTTTTTTTTCATAGTTATACATTTTATTAATTTAAACGAAAACCCTAGGACCTGCTTTGCAATGTATCGTTATGCTTACTTTAAATGTTAATATGCATTTGTGCATTGTATTTCAAGAGATCACCTTAACATTTACAACCTCCATGTAATTGTCCTTAATTAAAATCATCTCGGGTATGTTAAACACTTCGATCTTCACAGAATCAGGTAGTTTAAATGATTGTTCTATAGAGAAAACAAATGTTGTTATAATGCTGTGTTTATTGTTGTTTATTGTTGTTGTTTTTGTAGTTGTTTTTATTTCTTTTAGTTTTAGTGAAGTGTAAGATATGTCTTTTTGCTTCATCCTGATAAAATAAAACAAGGTCATGACCTAAATCGCTGAAAATATCATTACTTGATAACATTATATATATTTATATTTCGTCAATAATAAGTAAGTCACTAGGTACAATTTTGCAATATCATGGTCATGTTTAATTAAATCAAAGCACAGAAGGCGCCGAATTTGTTTGGGTCTCAGAATGTCAGAAAGGTGAAGGTTGTGAGATTATAAACCAATTTCTTTTTGTATAGTTCCACCAATGCTTTTTCCAGTGTTATAACTGTAGTAAATTGGCAATTAGGCTTATTGCAACACTGATATTCAATTCAATGTTTATTTGGTTTAAACAACTAAAATAAAACAAAAACGAAAAACATATGAGCTGCCTTAACTGGGATTTGAACTCAGGACATCTCTCTTCCTAAACGAGCGTGTAACCCCTCGACCACGGGGAAGTTATAAGATAACAGCCTGGAGAAAACCATATCAATCTAAATTAGGGTTTGTAACCCTTATTAATTTCGTTTAACACTGATGTAAATAATCATGAAGCTTAAAGTATATACATGTATATCTGTAAAGAATTACACAATATTTTAAATCTTTGACCAATCGGGAACTACTTTATCTTCCCCGAGAAAGCTTGAAAATTAATGCGCCTGTCATTTGACAATCTTTCGCAGTGATCTCCCCTTATTTTTTGGCGTTAGAGTACTTAGAAAGGCAAGTAACCGCTGCGAGGAGTTCGAACTACTTTCTGATTTAGCAAATAAGCATACCAGAGTCCGAAGTTTCGCTACCATTATTTGTTTGGTCTGACGAACCAAACAAATAAAAATGTAGTTGCCATGGCTTAAATTTTTAATGTTAAAGACATGAAGCTTTAAAAATAACTAATAATTCAGGTAATATATATGTCATTTTTGGTTTGGTTTCACGGCTCACCAAAACTGACATGATTATGTGGCGACTTTCCAGTTTTACAAGTGCCCCTTAGGGTATAAATAAAGGTACGAACGGGCACATGAGTAGAACGACCGATGTTCTGTACGGAAGTTAGAAAACTTTCTCACATAAAAAATCGAAACATTGAAGTCACTTGTGGTCTCGTACCTACTTCATGTAGTATATAAAACAGAACGCAGCCTCCAAAATCCATAGCATTTGATTGACGAAATGGGTATTATTAAAATAAAATTTTATTTTTAACACAAACACGCATGCACACATATCCATGAACTCATGTTTTTAAGCATCTTTAAATGAAAGTCCAAGATAGGCATAATTTTACCAAAATTTCTTACATGTATATGTAACAAGGTTACTACGTTACGTTATATATACGGCCTTGTTCCCATATGGATTCTTCAAATTATCCGGCTTTTAATTTTAATTGCATGTTTACAAAATAGTTACTGTGGACTATCTTTGTCCATATCATGTAGATAATTACATGCAGTTAGTTTAGGACCCTGGCAGATGATTCATACCAACTATATCATGTGGCAGAAAATTACTTTAAACTTTCCGTGATTTAAAAAATCCACTTGCATCGAAACCAGCGTTTTTTCTCCAAATTCGATTATTTAAACAACAGTTTGCAAGGAACATATATTTCCATCTTACTCCTTACTTCTTGTTTGTTTTTTATATTCATGCTAGGTTTAGACAGTCATTTATATATTCGATCAAATAACTTAAATGGAAGAATAATCGCACATAATAGATGTCCATGACGTTTATAATCCGAAAAAAAATATACATAATTATTTCAAGTGAAAAACAAAACAAAACAAAATTTTGAATGTCTTCCGTTTCCCTCCCTAAAATATTTACATTTTATAGCCAAATATTAATTGCTCAACATTTAAAATCGAATTCTGCGCGATGTACTCTCAAAATGTTCTTTTCTTTTTTGAATAATCCTGTTTACATCAAACTGTAAGCATAATGATACATTGCAAAACAGGTCCCAGGGTTCTCGTTTAAATTGATAAAATATATAACTATGTAAAAAAATCACTCACATTATAATTTAAATTAAATTTTCATACATTTTATTTTAGAATTATTTCAAAGACAGAAATTGTGTGTGTACTGTATCTTTTGAAATAACAGTGTGCTCCGTACCATTACAACATAATTGTATCAAAATATGCTAAAACATCACTGCATTCACTCGATACATTGGGCATAGTAAACATATCAGATTTAACATGTATTTTGCTATGAAATAGTAACAAAAAACATATGACTTGTTATGACAACTGAGTGTGTATTGTTCCCCTCGGCCACGGCTATGAGAAGAAAACTGTACTCGAATGTTCTCAAAAACCATTCAGGGGTTTTCATAATTTTGATAAACCGTGGAAAGCTGAAATAATTACGGGTACTCTGCGCCTTATCGGATCAAAGTCGGTTGAGTAATAAATAAGTTATGAATAAAAAACATACCTGAATCGGGTGAAATATCGGCGTGCTCCGTACCCGAAAAGTCACGTGGTATGGCCACATTAACTTAATTGTTTTATTAATATATAATTTTCTTAATACACGGTCGGTCGGTCTATTTACCCCAAGACACCCCAAGACTTCCCCAAGACACCCCAAGACTACCCAAAGAAGATTCTTGGGGTAGTCTTGGGGTGTCTTGGGGTAAATAGACCGACCCCGGTGGTGTAGAGGTAGAGTGCAAGCAGTTGTTGCTTAATTCGAGTCTTAGGCTGATCTTTTATATCGTTCTTGCAACACATAATGTAGATTTAATGAAAAGTTTGGGTTTGATATCGCGTTTCAATAGTATTTCAGTTATAAAGCGACCCCAATTAATAACTGCCAAGCCATCCAAACGAATCAGCTAGAGGTGTAGTACAAACTCATTCATACCTTAATTATAGATCAGTTTAAGCAGTCGGTCTAACTATACCATGACACCAGAAGTAAAGTATACATGTATATTGACTCTCACAGTGAAAATCTAAGGGAATTAAATACGTATAACCAATGACATTATCAATGGAATTATTTACCTGAGGTACAATCAATCCATCCATCCACCTATCTTATCCATCCATACCTTAATTAATATTAATTAATGCAAGCTATGGCTGCACTGAACTCCTCGATCTGTGGTAGGGAGTAGGTTAATTGCGGGGGGTATGTGGTCCAAGTGGTATACCGTTCTACGAAAGACAGAGAACTTTTAATAGTCTGAAGGGGATGGACATGACGTGATGTTTGGGAGAGGAGTGTCACATATTTTTCTATGGGGATAGCAACCAGAACACGGTGAATCTTATAGAAAAAGGATAAGGTACCTATC